TCAACTGGAAATTTTTCCCCATTTGAGCATACATCGGTCTAGAACTGATACCGTTTGTCAACGGCATAAAAATGTTCTTATTTCTAAATTCCTTAAGCGTGTATACCAGTCGGGTAGTATCACCTATCTAGCTAATCTTCCCACTGTAAACAATAGGAATATATATGTTCCAATAGGAATCTTTCGGAGGATCAGTTAAAAGTATTAAAATATAATTTCAATTTTTCAAAGACATCTAAACCTTCAATTCCTCAAATCATCACCCCTATAGAGAAAGCCTTTAAATTCTCCAAAATTTCGGAAACTCAGAAGGATACAATCCGCCACCTAATTACTCATAACGTTAATTTTAACAAATCTTTGGGTTCGAATTTTGGCAAAAAGGAAAATGAGATCTTACGTGAAATTCATTCTGATATGAATATCGTTATCTCTAAAGCTGATAAGGGCGGACAGATCGTTGTTATGGACAAACACACATATATTACTGGAGTCTCTAAACTGATAAATGAAGGCCCATACTTCTCAATTCATAAAGATCCTTCAACTTCGGACTTCACGAAAGTTAAAAGTGCTATCAAATCTTCTCATATTCTGCCAACTCAGTTGAAGAAATCACTTATTCCACCTATTACTAATTGTGCTAGGCTTTATGCTCTTCCAAAAGTCCACAAAACCGGTATTCCTTTTCGACCAATTGTTTCCAACATAAGTACTGCTTCATAACCTTTGGCCAAATATTTAGTTTCCAGATTTTCTCCTTTACTTGCTAACAATATTCACACTGTAAAAAATTCTGTTGAAGTCATTGATAAAAATATTTCTCCATTTCGTTTCATTATGGTTTCATTTGATGTCAAATCACTGTTTACTAATGTTCCGGTCGAAGGAGCACTAAATTGTCTTGAAACTAGGCTTCGGAAATTTCACTTCACACATACTGAAATTAATGAGTTGGTTTCGCTTACTAAAGTTTCTCTAAGTCAAACCCACTTTGTTTTCCAAAATGCATATTTTCGTCAAGTTGAAGGATTGGCTATGGGTAATCCTCTCAGTCCGGTACTTGCTGACATTTATATGCACTATTTTGAGATGAAATTATTTGATAAACTATCTTTTCGTCTTTGGATTCGGTATGTTGACGACACTTTCACAGTTTTTGACGGTTATAAAGAGGATTTATCCAAGATTGTATCTATTATGAATTCAATTGATCCAGCCATCCAATTCACTCTTGAAATTGAATCTAAGAATTCCCTTCCCTTCCTTGATATTCTTATAATCCACAATGAAACTGATTTTAGCACCACTGTGTACCGTAAACCCTTTGCAGTTTGTTTATCACCCCATGCCAAGTCATGCCACCCCGTTAAGCAAAAAAATGGCTTCTTTTACTCTTATGTATTCCGCACGCTTCCTCTGAATCTTTGCTTACCAATGAACTTAATTATTTGAGAGCAGTTGCGATTGACCGTGTATTTTCTCCCGTGTTTATTGATAAAGCTGTTAAAAAATTTTGATTCTCATTGAAGACATTCCACTGTTAGAAATAATATTAATGACCTTGTCATGCTTCCATTTTATCCTTCTGTTAGTTATAAAATTGCACGGATTCTCCAGAAATTCAATTTTCAAGTCTGTTTCTCCCCTATTAATAAAATTCACCCTTCGATTCTAAAAGATTGCGTTTCTGTCTTGAATTCTTGTTGGATTTATAGCATATCGTGTCAGTGCGGTTTAAGATATATTGGCCAAACAAAAAGAGCGTTGAAGTTTCGTATCAAGGAACATGAATCTTATATCAGAAAAGGCAAAATTAACAAGTTGTCAATAGCGTATCATAGTTGGACATTTAACTATAATTTTGACTTTGGGTCTGCAAAAATTATCCAAAAGGCTTCTTCCGTAGGTGAATTGGATTTTCTTGAGGCTTTTCATATTGACAAAGATTTAGCATGTTTAGTTAATGATTTGAAGTCCAATCTAGTCCTTCCTAATGCCTTTAAAATTCTACCATCTTAATTCAGTTATTTTTGCCGATAGATAGCATTACCTCCTCGCGTTTGGTACTACCAGAGGGTATAAAAATCCATTCAGTGGTTGCTTTCCATTATTCAAAGTTTAGATTTGGAGCGTAAGGTGCAGTTGCCCCTCGTTCCCTATTTTTAACTTCGCTAATTTTTCTTGTCCTTTGTGTTACATGTTTGATCAGATAGCCTGGCTCAGTAAAAGTAGGCAGCCAGTGTAACTCTGATTAAAAAATATGGTTATAAGCATGTGCAGTGCTGATAAGGACCACTAGTTTCTGTGACTCCTTCCCTTTTATTTTTCTTCTTTCTCCTGATGAAGAGGGACCTTTAGCTGCCCTCGAAATCGATCGAGTGTTTCAATATACTTACACTAAATACAAGGTTGTTTTTAAGATTTTGATAGATATTAAATGCTTTAAATATGAAATGAGATTCTCGAGCAATTATTCTTTTCCTTTATTGCTCTATTTTGTCTATTCTCATGATGTGTCAAAATAGATCTCTTGTGAATGAATGACTTGCTATTTCATTAGCGAGTCTCAAATTTACCAAACTGAAAAGGTAAATTAGGAATTTTTATTTTAATGTTGTATGAAGGTAGTAGTTATGAATTTAAGATGTGTTACATTTAATCTTATTGAAAACATATTTTGGGTATGTTTTGCTTTGCTAATGTTCCCAAGGTTTAGTTTTTCAGTCTTTTGATTTCATTCGGTCATGTGATTTCCATCAGTTTTTAGTTGCATTTTCCAGTCAGCTTACTACAGTCAAAAGTCGTTAATTTGGACACCCATAATCCGGAATGATCTATAATCAGGACCTCAAAGCTACAAACTTTCTGCGCATGCGTCGCGTCGACCGCTTTACCGCTACGAATTTGCGTATGCGCGTGCGCAAAATACGTTTACGAATGCGCGTTTAATGTATAGCGGACGGTATAAGCTAAGCTAAAATTATCTAATTATCTATTTCAGTTAATGTTGCAGATTGCGTTGTTCCTTAATCTTTGAATTGGATCCAGATTATTATTTTTTGCAGACTGTTATAGCAATTTTATAAAAGTAAGCTTGAACTTTCGATTATGTCAAATAGAATTTCCGATATATATTTACTAATATGTAAAGGATATACAAAGCGAAAGTATCTTTCGGAGTCCATTAAACAAAAAGTGGAATTGCTGCAAAAAATGGATAAAGGCATATCCTTTGTTTATCTAAACTTTAACGTTTGTTTATCTAAACTTTGTTTATCTTTAACGCCGTGGCGGCGTGCAATGAATTGGAAGTTGATCTGTCAGTACTATCCTTATCTTGAGGGCAGATATTTTTATTTTATTTGGCTTATAATTGCTTACTCAATGTAGTATTTCATATCGATGTACTCTGCCTTTGATATGATTTAAATCAAATGCCTCGTCATTATAATTCGCTTCCGATAGCGAAGAAAGTAACAGAGGTTATTGAAAACGAAAAAATTTCGATTGACAAATTAGTCTGTATTCTCGACACAGCAATTATAAACAGCGGAACTTTGTAACTGAACAAGAAATTGTCTGTTTATAGAATTAAAGAGAATGTATTGTCACATAAAAAACGAAGCAACTTAAACAACTTTCATTAAAAGAAATGTTTAATAAAGTAAACAAATAAATATTAAGCTTTTTTTGTAAATTTTGATACCCTTTAGATCATAATTGTTCTTTATATCATAAATTACGGTTTCATATTTTTAATTTTATAATTTCTGCATGCAATTTTACCAGATTTAAACTGATGATCTATAATCCGGAATCGCCGAAGTCCCGACGAGTCCGGATTAACGACTTTTGACTGTATTAGTTTATGAATGCTCTTATTTCTTAAGGTCTTGGAATCTCATGTTTGAGAGGAGGGGAATTCAGACCACTTTTAGAAGCCACTAAGCCATTCTTTCCAAAGCAAAAATAGGTTGTTTCCAGTGAATAGGCATGTTCCATGGACGTTTTCTTAGCTTTTTTCTAGTGTGTGTAACATGACTAATTCTCTTTGTCCTTTAACAATCTTTTGCAAAGGCATTCTTTCCTTATCAAATAGTCCAAGTGTACTTTGCCTTAAAATTGGACAACTAACCAAAATAAATTGGCCATTGATTGCTTCACTGTGGTAAACTAGTCCTTGCTTTGATTTGATTAAAATCAGTCTGCGAACCATTTCTAGATGGCTAATGATTGCTGCAAATTAATAAAACTAATTCTCAGACTGTATAATGAATATTTATGTGAATGTGTTCTTTTCCAGAGAATTTCTGTACAGTAGCTATTGGTTAATATTGCATATAGTTTTATATAAATTAATGCAAATTCATTCCAGTTTAATTACAAAGCTGTATCAACTATTTATTCAACTTTGCTATATTTAACTTGTCTAAAAATTATATATTCCATAATATTTTAAGTGAAAAAAAAACTTGGCCGTAAACAAATCTAATTTAAAAAGAAATTTAAAATTTAGATGTAAAATTATTTGCTATTTTTATACTTTATCAGCAAATGTGCAGAGCTATAAAGTAAGAAATATAAGCGTACTTTAAGAATTTGTTAATTTTTAATATTTCCTTAAAATTTTTATTTTATATCAGTATTTTCTTTAATTTCATCTTTTTTGAATTCATAGCTTTTTTACTGAGCTAGTCTTGATAAATGTAAATTTTTGAGTGTTCTAGTTTTCCAAATATTTTCATATAAATTAGGTGTTTAAAAAGTTAAATCTTAAAGATAGTACTTCCCAGTAAGGGACACCTACTGGACCAGGCATTTTGTTCTTTAAATAGGTGTCCTTTAGTAAGAAGTAAATACATGCCTAATTCAAAGAGAGACCGACAGAATTGCCCTTTAAGTAGAGGTGTCCTTTACAGGAGGTACTACTGTATTTTTAATGAATTTATCAAAAAACAAATCAATTTTGAAAACTGACAATTTCTTTTTCCCTTCAGATTTTGTTGTTGTTCATAATGGTATCATAACAAACTATAAAGATGTTAAGAAGTTTCTGGTATGTATACCTATCTTCGATATTTTTATATTGGTGTTTTGAAATGCTTATTTATGACTATTTCTTATTTGTAGCAAACTGAAAATTGGGAAAAAGCTAATTCAGTTATTAATACTGTATTTGATGGCATATAAGATGCACTCTTATTTAGAAGGCCACACACAAGGGAAAAAAGTTATAACTTAAAAGGTGGTTTCTTTTAGTTTTCATGTTTCGTAAAAGCCAAATAAACAATCATTGAATGCAATTACTAAACATATTTTTATTAAGGAAAATTAACAAATGACAAGCTATTTTGAGGCTCCACAGACGTAATGTGACCGTCGAACCTGTTCGAATTTCGACATCAGCTTCGAGCTTTGGCGACAGATATTTCACGCATGCGCAAAATAATTGTGGCAGATGTAGAAAAAATTATGTGTGTCTAAACCTTTATCCGGGCTAAAAATAACATTCAGTATTGAAAGTTAACCTGTGTACTTCACGTATAAGACGCAGGTAACTTTTTGAGACCAAATTTAGGAAAAAAAGTGCGTCTTATATGCCGTCAACTATGGTAAATATGGTACAAAGTCCATAAATCCGGACATCCATTATCTGGAATGATCTATAATCTGGACCTCAAAGCCACAAACTTTACGCATGCGCGTAATGTATGCTTTATGCATGTGCGCGTTGAAAGAAATGTTTAATAAAGTAAACAAATAAATATTAAGCCTTTTTTTGTAAAATTTGATACCCTTTAGATCATAATTGTTCTTTATTTCATAAATTATGGTTTCATATTTTTTTATTGTATAATTTCTGCATGCCATCTTACCAGATTTAAATTGATGATCTATAATCTGGAAAAAACCCTAATCCGGAATCGCTGAAGTCCCAACGAGTCCGGATTACAGACTTTGTACTGTAAATATGTAATTTTTCTCCATAGGTACTATCCTGATTAACTTGGCTATGGCATCTTCTTGATTTCATGGCGAGGGGGAGATTTTATAGTATTCCTGCAACTAAAAATACTTGCTTTTTTGGACTGTATATTCTTGGCTGTAGATAATTAATCTTAAATTATACTCCTAAATTAGAACTATTGTTTCTTTTGGCTTTATTTTGAAATCAATTCATTTACATTGGGCTGTTCGGAGGGGGGGGAACTTGCAAATTACAATAATAAAATTCAAATCTTTACAATACCAATAAATTAACATAAAAATTTCACAATTAAAATCCTAAAAATCTTCAGTGACTAGAAAAGCAACCATGTATTCAGGACATAAAGATCCCTGGCCATCCAGCACAGCAGGAGAATATCATCACTATGTTTTTACTTAGGGTCAAGGCTCAAACAAACAAGCTAGTGCTGCTTATTCATAATGTCGGTTTTACAAACAGGGCATTGATACTTGGTTTGTGGCAACGTTCCTATTGCTGAGATGTTCGACTAAGCAGTTGTGCCATGTACCAAGTCTGAAATTAGCCACAGCCTCTGTAACTGAACTCATTCCAGATATTCCTGATATTCTCACAGAATTTACCTTTTGATTTAATTGATATTTCTGTAGTATTAGCTGACATAGGATTTTCTTTTGAGATGCATGTTTTAAGGGAATCCAAAGGAATGAAACTCTGTTTAATAAAAAAACTCCATAGTCTCTTTACCAATGCATCTACTTTTTCATTACCTCAGTATCTATGTGGGATGGTATCCTCTGAAATTCTAGTTTTACCATTCCTATTTAGTTCTCTGGTATCTTGTTTTATTTTTGACACCAAAAGATGCTCAGAGTGGTGTTGAAGATCTCTTGCCTCTGACCAATTTAGTCAACAAGAATGGTTGCCTTTGTAAAAAAACTCAATTCTAGATTTCAAATTACATAGCCAAAAAGACCACATGAACTTCTGCATCAAACTTTAAAAAAAATTTTGACCCACTGGGGGAATACTGTGAAAACAGTTTACAGTATACACCTGCACCAGCAGTATTATTCATTTCAGAGCCATCTGAAATGAATAATACTGCTGAAAAATTACATATTTACATGTATCCATTCTGGTTTAGGATAGTTATTGTCCAATAATGGCAAGCCATTTGTTTTTAATACATAGTATTTTTTCTATTTACACCCAGTTTTAAATTGTAGAGTATTTTCAGAAATTCGAGTGGCTCAACAAGTATATTAGTATTCTCAATGAGAATATTTAAATCTAAATCGTCCAAAAGGCCTTCACAAAATCTCGACTGGTCTGTTTCATTATCTCGGTGGCAATCAGAGGGTTTGAAGTATAGGATAGTATAGCTGCTATTGGAATTGACACTACTGTGTGATTAAGCAGAGAGCTTTATTCTGAGCTTGTCCAGGATTTCTAATTTGGTCTGTACAGCTGAAATCAAAATTTCACTGCCATATTTAAGAACTGGCTTTATATAGGTGTTGCGAGATTCAGTGTTGTGGATGCAGTTCCATTTTGCACTGGCCTGTCTTTTCAAGATAGGCAATATTTTTTCATCCTAATCACAGTGTGTCTTGTACACTTCAAAAAACTTAATTTACTGCCTGTTATAACTCTGAGGTATTTTGTCCTGCTATTTCCATTTAGTTTTGTATTATCCAAATACAAATTAAATTCAACATGTTTAAAGAAACTGGTACATATTTTTGAATTATTGATCTTGGCCCAAGACTGAAGTGTCTTCAGAGCTTTATTCATGTCACTCTTTTTTTGATAGTACTGACAGTTATTAGTTTCACTCCGTATTACTAGGTCATCAGCAAACATGTTCACTTGGATATCTCCAGCTTCTTTCAATCTCTTGAGATCATTGACATAAGTATTAAAGAGTATGAGGCCATCCACTGAACCCTGTGGAAAGCTGTATTTGGATTCTATATTGTTCCAACTAATTTTCCAATCCAGCATTTTCCCCTTCTATTTCTTGTTTTCCTAATTTGCTTAGAAATGTTTCCTTACAGATAGTATCGTAGGCCCCCTGGAAATCCAAAGAGCTTTTCTTCTCCCAAAAAAAGCTCTTTGGATTTCTAATTATTTGGTTCTTTGGATGAATCTAATTCTTTTCTTAGAATCAAAGCCTGATTTTATTGCATGAAAAAATTTCATAATAGAGTAAGAGCAGGGTTTGTACGGTCCTTACGAGCCCTTAAAAGCCCTTAGATTTTTTAGAATTGATATTTGGTCCTTAAAAGTCCTAAATTTTGGCCAAACTCGGCAGAAGGACCTTAATTTTAATCATCTGAAATTTCTGTCTGTTTTTATGACTGCCATTTTGAGTGTGAATTAACATTTTGGAGGAATATTTTTGGAAAATCGCTGACATATATGATTATCTTTTGAATGGGTTCATGGGTTATAATTTGTTTCTATTTCTAATATAAACGATGGGATACTCGAGTTTCTAAGCAATAAGCGAAACATAAGCATTTCAAAATTAGTTTTTTCCAATAAAGAACTTTTAAACAACTTTTTACTTTTGAGGATGTGAATTCTTTTTTTAAACGGTTTTAAATTTGGCGATTTTGAGATCAGTTTCTATAGAAAATTTTTAATTCAGAGATCTGAGAATTTTTGATTTTTTTAGAACATTATAACATTGATAAATATCATTAAAATAATGGTAATGTATTGTAATTATTTTTAAGAAATAGCATAAGCATTTTTATTTTTTGCTGCCATATTATATATTTCATTTTGGCCACTTATACAATATCTTGAATCTGAAAAAAATAAACAAGGTATGTTATAAAGCACAATTTACAAAACATTTCGTAGCAAAGCCAAAATAGCTGTGTAATTAAAAATATTTTCTTTTTAATTTTTTATGGTAAGAGTTTTCCCATGTTAGTGTCTCAGAATATGCATCAGTTTTCTCTCTGAAATTAATTTAACATTTTTTCCCTCTGATTTTTTTTTTTTTTTCTCAAAATATTTCTGGCTTTTTGCTGTTATAGAATTTGTAGGAGTAATTTTTCTTTAGGATTTTAGACATTGCAGCTTGAAAGGTTTAGAAGAAAGCAAGATCTTTAGACCCACGATTCTAGAACATTCGAGAAATATGTGACAAAATTTGAAATGTCTTCATGGTATCAACACATAATGGATGTATTTTACAGAAAGTTTGCAATGAATTTCTTACTTTTCGGAGAACGTCTGGAAGAACAATGAAAACATAATATTTGAATGTTTTACTTCTTGATACTAGAATCTTTTTCTTAACATGTTTATCTTCCGTTTATTTCTCTACGTTTTACTAGACACAAGCATGGAAAATATCAAAAATGCTTCTAATCTTATCACGTGGGCAGGGCATTACGGAAAGGAATATTTTTATTAATAAAGAAATTGAAAACTTACAATTTAAAAGATTTATCTAATATGTCTTAATGCATCATACCTATAGCTGGCACTAGGCATTTTCCCACCTGATGCAATCTCTGTGGATCCTAAATTCTGCTGCCTAGTGCCTTTTTAAATTCTGCTTCCAATGCCTCCTCTAAATTCTAAAAGTTCTGCCATTTCTAGATTTTGTTGTTTGGTATGTTACTAAATTCTAAAAATTCTGCCACATCAGCTCTGTAATTGGCCTTAACCATATATATTTCATATTTCTTCTAAATGTTCATATTACTAAAGAAATAAAATTAGCCGCTTCTTCTATACATTATAAATGCATTTAGTGTTTTTAGAATAACAGAAATCCTTAATTAAATTCTAAAATGTAAAGGAAACGTGTTGAAGAAAGAAATTGGTATACATAAAGAAAATTATTCTTCAAAGATATGTGCAGTTATTATGATTATGTAAATTACCCAATTGTTTGTGATCTCTGCCTTTACTATAATTTCCTGTTTCTACTTCCTTATATGATAGTTACTGAGCCAGATTAAATTAAATTGTATAGTCGTTGACCACTACTTCGCATTTTTAGTTTGAATTTGACTGTTCCTGTTTAATTACGTCACCGTGAGCTGTACTTGATTTTGTTAGCATCAGAATGTGCCTTTTTGTTCCAAGTTCTTTTTAAATAAGCCGCTTATTCAAACCTTTGTCTGATATTGTAGTTACTTTCAGACATAGCGATAATATGCTTCACGTCTGTGGGGGTTTTGGACTATTTAACTTTTAGCAGATAAAGTAAATCCTCGTAGGTACATTATGGAGAGGGTGACAAGTTAGGAGATAAAGCATGCAGAAACTAGCGAGGGCATTGGTTTGCATATTATGACAAATCTGCACTTGTTAGAAAAGATGCTTAAAAGGAAATCGATATAAACTAGCCAAAATGTTTGGGAAGGCTTTAAATTAAAATGACGGATAAATATTTTATTGAGTGTTTCTGTTACAAAACATAAATGTTTCATTTTAACATTTATGTTAATAAATTTAATGTTTTGTAGCTTTTAATGTGTAATAATCCTAGTATCGTTTAAGAATCAATGTCATAAATTACATGTATTTTAAACTATGAAATTTTATGAAATTTTGATTTTAATAGGGCTTTTTTAATAAATTTTGTTAAATAAATTTAATAGGGTCATGTAAATCCATAATGACTAAGGATATCAAACTACCTAATTTAAATCATTTATAACTAACTGCGTACCCTTAAAATTATCTTTACACTTAAAGCAAGTTATTGCCTTTCATAATATCCCTGTGGTCACAAGATAAAATACAAAATTTAAAAATTCGAGTAAACTTATTCTTTGCATTTAGTGAGACGTAGAATAATACAAAATAACTTATCACTTCTGTGTTTTAATGGCTTATTGGAACCTAAAGTATATTAACTGGATTTAATCCCTGGAACTCTACAACGCCTATGACACTAACTGCATTAAACAAAGCCCTGACTAACTTCATGCTTTGCCAACCTGCCTACATCAGGTCTTTCAGGTTTGTTCTAATCAGCAGGTTTCTCTGTAAACAAGCAGCAGCAGTGACAACATTCAGTCTTTGTTATGAATCATGCTGATTATGATCTTACTTCTCATTTAAACCTATGTCATTTGACATAAAATCTACCTGCTATTTACTAAACCTCTAGACTGACCAAGTATGTGACATTACGAGACATTAAAAAAAAAAAAAAAAAAAAAATCAACATAAACCTGTTAGTAAAATGTAAATGTCACTTCCTTCAAATATGTCCAATTAATTTTTAATTACATGTTTAGTAATAATGCATACTACTTAGGGATCTATTTTATTTTTAGGATGGTGTTATAAATTTAGGCATCGATAATATTTTTAATTGAATTTGTTCAGTTAGCATTTGCTCGTAGGTCCTTAATTTTTTCATTAATGGTCCTTAAAAGTTCTTAATTTCAGTGTGCAGAAATGTGTACGAACTCTGAAGAGTGTAACCATTTCTAATTATCAAACATTAGAAATGGTTATGTCCACCTCTTGCTCTACCTAGTATACTACTCCAAATTATGAGCTCTGAATTCTCAATTGGAAAGAGCAAGATCTGGGTTATAAGGTATGCATGTGCTCTCGTATAGTTGACTATTGTTCAAACCTTGCTCCTTTTGATTTTCACGTGCTTGGGCATTTTAAATTCATTTTGATTGGATTTTAGAGAGATGTCTAAGAATTGGTTCATTGTAGCTTCCAGCACAAATCGATATAATTTTTCCTTCACATAGTGAAGAAGCTGATTTAAGAATTTAATGATCCTAACAATTTCTTATTTTTCCGTAAAACTGTATGGCATACAAAGGTCTTCCCTGGCTTTTGTTTCATAAAAATATAAATCTCTGATTCTTCAAGATATTTGGTCTTTCACAAAAGATTATTAAAAAAGTTTTAAAACTTGTGAATATAGTTCTTATTAATTCAATATCTTGAATTCATAGGCTACATTAAAAGTAATGGCGTGCAGTATTTGTAATATTTATGGCTTAATTTTCTGTTTGGCTGAACATTATTAACTTGCATATATTTCAAAGGTATTTTATGAAACAAGTTTAGGTACTTTTCTGTTTCGTCGGCGCAAATCTCGCCAAGCAGACTTTATTGCCAACAATATACAGTATACACATAAAAAATGTTAACAAATGTTAGTTCTAAGAATTTTTTTATTTTGAGTGCATAAAAATTTTAATATCATTTAAAATTTTGCAAAAAGCCAATAAAGACAATAAATTTGTAATTGGACATTAATTTAAGAATTTATTATGCTTTCATGGTTCAACAAGCTGATTCAACCCATTCATATCATGTTACCCCAAGTAATCTCATCTCACTATGTTACAAAAATCTAATTCTCTCAGTAATTATCTACATTAATTTCAAGCTAAATCTTAGTTTGGAATACAAGTTTAAATGAAGAATTATTTCAATTCTTACGAATAGCTTATTCAGAAATTTAGTAAAACCACAGTGCTTTACTTCACTAGTGTATTCTCATTAGCCTTGACTTTGCCTTTTGTATATTTTTGGTTGAGCATTGTGAGTGCATTCTAATTGACTCGATTACCGCAAATGGACTTAAAGCATAAAATTGTACTATCTGGTAAAAATTCTATGTAATTGTATGCCAGTATTGAAAAAAACAATCTGTTAAAAAATGGCTGCGACTTGTTTTGAAAATGAGGCGTAAAAGGTTACCAGCAAGGATATTCCGTTTGGCATCAGTTGTACCATTACTGGTGACTTTATTGGTTGCACCGGCAAAATGGAAGTACCCAAGTTTATTTAAAATTTGGTAACATGGAGTTAAAACCTTTGGTCATAACACTAAAAATGACAAATTAAAAAGAAATCGGAAGCTTGTCTAGTTTAAAAAATGGAAATTTAACTATTTGTAAATTAACATTTACATAATGGTTTTTTCATCATGAAGCTTTTAAAATAAAATAGTAAATCATTATTCTAACAGGAAAAAGTCTTGCATAATACGAAAATTTTTTAATTTTGTTTTTTATTTTAGTTTTATGGTTTGCTTCATAGCTATCTATAAACTTTAAATTTTCATTATCATATTGGTATTATCTACTTATTGTCCTGCTAGTTAATTTGATTGTTTTCCATTAGAGAAATGTTAAGTATCTTTCATTTAACATCCTTTGCTTGTAAATAAAGTAATTTAGGCTATTAGTGGTAAATAAAAGTACTTTAAAAATATGTTGTGCATCTCTCGTTTATGTTAACATATATAAAAAATCCATGAATAAGTTTTAATAAGCATAAAATTTAATTTAAATGAGTAAATTTTGATTTATCCACCTTTTTTATTTTTGGGACTTTTTTGATTTTTCTTGCATCTTAAAGCCTCTGAAAATGAGGTCTAAAGTATTTTTATTTTGGTGCAAAGATCAAAATGCATATTTTATGCATCCTAATGTCAGTTTAAATTAATTTTCAGACATAAAATTATATTTTGTGTTGTTTTTTTAAGTAAAATTAAATTTCTGGCATCCAAAAACATACTGGAATTAATTGTTTGCCATTTAATTACAGAACATGTATACAGATACACAATTTTATATTTTGTGTTTTCCAATGTAATTATATAATGTAAACAGAACTTTGTGTTTATTTGCAAATTGTAATTTGGACAAAGTTTAATTTTATATTCTTTTTAAACGATGGGTATTTGCAGTTTTAAGCATTTTACTTTCAAAGTATTTGATAAATTTGTTAATATTTCAGCTGAACCATGGCTTTGAATTTGAATCAGAAACTGATACAGAGGTTATATCAAAACTTATCAAACACATCCATAACAACAATCCACATCTTTCATTTAGAGAACTTGTTGAACAAGTCACGCAGCAGCTGGTGAGTAATGTTGAAATTATTACATTTCTATATCTAAGTAAAAACTTTAGATTGGTGTAGATGTTGAAAAGGAAAAAAAAAAAACTAGTATTAGTTTTGAGGGTGATGAACCGTAGGTCTCTTTTTTTTTTTTTTTTTTTTTTTTTTTTTTTTTTTTTTTTTTTTTGTTTTTTTTTTTTTTTTTTTTTTTTTTTTTTTTTTTTTTTTTTTTTTTTTTTTTTTTAAGAAGTAAAACATTGAAGTTTTATTCCAAATCTGAGAAATGATTATTAGTTTGTCTAGTTTTAAAATTTACTTTGGGTCTTTTTTTCCCAGTTGGAATTTTACGTATTCCTAAAAAGTAACTGATTTTATTTCATTGTATGTAAATTGTGAACTAATTGCTTTGTGTAACTAATGATTAAAACAATGGCATAAATTAACACATGTTAAGCAAAATGTAATAAAATTTAATAGATTGCGTGTATGAATATTTTAATGCAGATTAGCAACAAAAAATGTAAGCTAGTTTATCTTTACCAATCGCTAGTGGTTCAACAGTATATGAATGTCCGACCGGCCGCAGATTCTCCCTGTTCTGAATAACTGTCAGGACAATCTGATAAATCGTCTAAATAAAACTCTCCAATAGCTTTTTTTTTTTCGCTCGTCGTGAATGGTAAATTTTTTAAAAACTGTGTAAAAATGTGCGAGTTTACAAAGCAATGCACATGAGCAGAGTACCTCAATACTAATAATAAAATGCAGATGATATAGCAAATGGCAATTGTTTATTACCATGGCTACCGATTGATAGGCTATTTTTAGGTGGCCCCGAAAAAAATTAATAGGTCAGTAGGCGTTGTTGAAAAAGCCATTTAATAGGCTATCGGTTGGTAGGCGTTGGTGAAAAAAGCCAATTAATCTAATAAGCTATCAGTTGGTAATTAATTAATAAGCTATCAGTTGGTAGGTGTTGGTGATAAAAAGCTGATTAATAGGTGATTAGTCAGTAAAGTGGTTAAAACAGTCCTCAGTGGAAGCATCCCTCAAAAAGCAGATTGCCTTTAGATTGAAATATTTAGTATTAAGAATATTTACTAGAATATAAATGTAAGTTTAACACAAAATTGAAGAATTTCAAAGTTAACGCTGTTTTTGGTCCGAGTCTGAGTACGAACAGTACTGTCTTAAATTCTATAATATCTTTTTTAAAATACTGAAATGCATTCAATCACAAAATAGCCAAATTAACAATTTTGTTTTCTTTGGCGATTCCTTGCAATGGTTAGAATTTATTGGGCAGTTTGAAACTGCTATGAATGAAAGTCTTACTTTGAGTAAAGTTTGAAAAATTGATTTATTTATGAAATTTCCTTGGAGGGCCTGCTGCCAAAGCTCTTTTGTCAAAGAAAGATTTGAGGAATCTGAACTCTTTTATTGCAAAAAACATCCTGTCCCACTTTCTAAGAACTCAAAATTCAGAGTGTTTAGTAAAGCAAGAACATGAGAGAGTGTTGCATGGTGGCATTACCATGACTTTAGTGAAAGTAAACAAAGATTGGATTCTTAAAGGTCGACAAAACTAGATCAAATTTCAGATATGCCTCTGTTTGATATCTATGGAGTTAATTTCGCAAGCCCTACTTATGTAAATGGTGGTAAAGAAACAGAGATCTTGCATCTCATTATTCACAGATGCAGTAAGAAGGTCAATTCACTTAACTGGTGACATCGCTCTCGGCAAAATGCTTTTATTGGCCTTTAGAAAATTTGTTGCCGAAAAGAGGAAATTGCTCTAATTTATTCAGGCAATGCAAGACATTTGAGAAAGCCAGTTTAGAGCTACAGCATTTTTCAAAAATTTTAAAGGCTTCTGAATTTCAAAATTTTGTAGTCACTTAAATAATTGCTTGGAAATTCATGGTTGAACGAGCGACGTGGTAGAGAAGTTTCTATGAGTAAGTTTTGTAAAAACTGTCAAAGTTCTGCTGAGGAAAATACTTGGATGAAACCTTTTAACATTTGAAGAACTAGCAATAGTTTTGGCAGAAATAGTTTTGAATAAGACCTTTTACATATGTAAACAATGACATAAATGAACCTGAACTGCTAATACCATTACACTTTCTTAATTTTGGGAAAAAAACTTGAAAATATCTCTTAAATTTGATCAAAATAGAGAAGTTTCTAGAGAATCTTTGGCGTGGAGAAAAAGTGCCAGACTGAACTACTTGAATGACTTTGGAAAAAGTGGAAAAAAAAGCATTTGCTGGGCCTTTAAAAATTGTGCATCACTTGAAGGTTTCTAGAGCTTCCAAAGATTTAAAGATTGGAAAAGTAGTATTGATTGAAGAATCATTGAAGTCCAAATTTCTGTGGGATTTAGGAATTGTTTAAGAAGTGTTATTTGGAAGAGACGGACATACACATGCGTTGTGAAAATATCCAAAGGGTTGGTTAGAAAAATGCATCCAACTTTTATAATTAGAAGTGACTAATGAATAATAGTGTTGTATCCTTTTGTTATTTAAATTATTTGATTTATAATTAGTTATTAATGTATTGCTGTTTAGTATTGTAATTTCATTAAAAAATCACAGTATGTAAAATCAGGTCAATAACTACATAGTTTATTCAATACATGTTTGTTTTATGAAATAGTTTATTTACTATTTTATATCATATGGCTAAATAGTTTAGATTTCTTGACATCTGTTAGAAAATACATTCTATATTCATAAATATGATTGATATGGCCAGTTTATCTTTCTGAAATAATAACGAACTTTGTTATAGTGGCCCTCAAACATATTTGGTGGTTTTAGATTTGTACCAATATCTCTGGTATAATTTTGCCAGGCACATGAAGTGTGAATGTGAAAACATAGTACATAATAACAATAATAATACTTTCATGTCATCTCTAAGAATCATTATTTTGACATGTAGTCGTTCCAGTCATGTGTTGCACTTTCACACATATTAAGCTTTTTGTTATACTATTTCATGGACATCATTTCCTCTGCCCAAGAATATATAAATCTAATAGCGGTGATAAACTATATTTTGGAACTGCTGAATCAATCTCCAGCACAGAGATTCCTTTGCAGTTTTTAACATTGCACCTCCAAATAGTTTCGTCGTTAACATTTTTGCATATTCATTTGTAAGACATTTCTTGAAAATAAGATATGGCATCCAATTTATTAGTTGGTAAATTAAAGGTTCTTAACGACATTCACAAAAATAGGCAATAAACAAATTTTCAAATAAACAGTATGAATTCAAAAACCTCATCATAAATTTATATAAAAGCATGCTGTGAGATAAAAAAATGTACAACATGGTGCTAATTATACGATTATGTGGCGAGGTATAAGAACATGCAGCTGTATCAGCATGTTTTTATACTTCGTTGTGTGATATATGATCACACAGCAAAGTATAAGAATACACAGTCAGATTTTGGTGAGATTTCTTAGTTGACTTTACGATTCAGTCTCGAGCTGCTATAACAAAGCCCCATTAATAGTATAGTGGTTATAATTTTGAGTACATTTTTTATTCATTTTAATTCACTTTTTATTTCATAATTATGTTAAAATTTTGATTGAATTCAACATATGTTTTTTTTTAAATTTAAACCAGTTTGTTGATATTGAATTTATTTGATATAAATTTGATAACTTAGATTGATATGAACTATTGACAGAATTCAAGTGGGGAGTGTCTGGAAATTATTCTGATTATCAATAGATGGTACAGTCAAAAGTCGTTAATCCAGACTCGTTGGGACTTCCGCGATTCCGGATTATAGATCGCCCACCAGCGGCCGAGCGGTAAAGTCGCTGAACACTGGTAGTTCAGTCCGAGGTTCAAATCCCGCAAACGGGCTGGCTGCATGGGTGTTTTCGTGGTTTTCCCCATGTGTATACGAGCCAGTTTTCCTTAGAAAGTCCTCCACGAAGGCGTCCCTTCTCTTAGGCAGATAGCCCTTGTGTGCTTTGCCATAATTAAATACACCACACCGGATTATAGATCATCAGTTTAAATCTGGTAAGATGGCATGCAGAAATTATAAAATCAAACGTGTGAAACCGTAATTTATAAAATAAAGAACAATTATGATCTAAAGGGTATTAAAATTTACAAAAAAAAGCTTAATATTTATTTGTTTACTTTATTAAAGATTTCTTTCAATGTAAGTTGTTTAAGTTGCTTCATTTTATGTGATAATACTTTCTCTTTAATTTTATAAACAGACATAATTTCTTCTTCAGTTACAAAGTTCTGCTGTTTAAGTCCTACAATTGCTGTGTCGAGAATACGGACTAATTTGTCAATCGAAATTTTTTCGTTTTCAATAACCTCAGTGTCGCTTTCTTCACTATCGGAAGCGAGTTATAATGAGGAATTTGATTTAAATCATATCAAAGACGGAGTACATAGAGATGAAATATTACATTTAGTAAGGAATTATAAGCCAAATAAAATAAAAACATCTGCCCTGAAGATAAGGATAGTGCTGACAGATCAACTTCCAATTCATTGCGCACTGCGGCGTCCTCCCTCCCAGAGCAGCATGAAATTTATAAACAGATTTTGGAATGGTTAGAGAAACGAAGGATATGCCTTTATCTATTTTTGGCAGCAATTCCACTTTTTGTTTAATGGACTTCGAAACATAGTTTCGCTTTGTAGATCCTTTAATATTAGTAAATATATATCGGAAATTCTATTTGACATAATTGAAAGTTCAAGCTTACTTTTATAAAATTGCTCTAACAGTCTGCAAAAAATAATAAGCCGGATCCAATTCGAAGATTAAGGAACAACACAATCTGCAACATTAACTGAATTAGATAATTTTAGCTTAGCTTATACCGTCCGTTATACATTAAACGCGCATGCATAAATGTATTACGCGCATGCGCACACACATATTTGCAGCCGTAAAGGTCTTGTGCGCATGCATGCATGCGCAGAAAGTTTGTAGCGTTGAGGTCCGGATTATGGGTGTCCGAATTAACGACTTTTGACTGTATTAGCATTTCTGCATAAATGAGACTTGCCTTTTTTGCTTCTCACAGATTTCCCACAGCAACCTCCTTTTCGATTTGATTTGAGTTGAGTTGGATAGAAAAATTAAGTTCCTGTTAAATAATTCAGTTTTTTTATTATTACCATATTTGACTGTTTGATTAAATTTATTAAATATTAAACATCTATTTTAAACCCATTAGAGCTTTTGTCTTTTGATACACGCCATGATTATACATCTAAAAAGGGATTTCTATATAATTTTTTTTTTTAGATTTTCAGAACACAAAATGAAACCAAACATTATAAGAGCATATTTTAATTATATGCTTTAAAACATTGTTCTATGCATTAACGAAACTTCTCTTTCCGTAACACTAAAAAAAAATTATATTTACAGTCAAAAGTCGTTAATCCGGACTCGTCAGGACTTCGGCAATTCCGGATTATCGATTTTTCCGTATTAAGATCATCAGTTTAAATCTGGTAAGATGGCATGCAGAAATTATAAAATTAAAAGTATCAAAACGTAATTTATGAAATAAAGAGCAATTATGGTCTAAAGGGTATCAAAATTTACAAAAAGAAAAAGCTAAATATTTATTTGTTTACTTTATTAAACATTTCTTTCAATGTAAGTTGTTTAATTTGCTCCGTTTCATGTGATAATACTTTCTCTTTAATTCTATTAAACAGACATAATTTCTTGTTTAGTTACAAAGTTCTGCTGTTCAAGTCCTGTAATTGCTGTGTCGAGAGTACCGACTAATTTGTCAATAAAAATTTTTTCATTTTCAATAACCTCAGAGTCACTTTCTCCACTATCGGAAGCGAATTATTATGACAAGGAACTTGATTTAAATCTTATCAAAGACAGAATACATCGAGATGAAATACTACATTTAGTAAAGAATTATAAGCCAAATAAAATAAAAACATCTGCTCTAAAGATAAGGATAGTGCTGACAGATCAACTTCCAATTAATTGCACGCTGTGTCGTTTCCCTCCCCCCCACAGAGCAGCATGAAATTGATAAACATATTTCAAAATTATTAGATAATCAAAGGATATATGCCTTTATCCATTCTTTGCAGCAATTCCACTTTGTTTAATGGATTTCGAAAAATACTTTCGCTTTGTAGATCCTTTACGTATTAGTAAATATATATCGGAAATTCTATTTGACATAATCGGAAGTTCAAGCTTACTTTTATAAAATTGCTCTAACAGTCTGCAAAAAATAAGCCGGATCCAATTCGGAAGATTAAGGAACAACGCAATCTGCAACATTAACTGAAATAAATAATTAGATAATTTTAGCTTATACCGTCCGTTATACATTAAACGCGCATGTTTAAACGTATTATGCGCATGCGCACATGTATATTCGCAGCAGTAAAAGTCTTGTGCGCACGCACAAACGCCACGCATGCGCAGAAAGTTTTTAGCTTTGAGGTCCGGATTATAGATCATTCCAGATTATGGGTGTCCGAATAAACGACTTTTGACTGTATTGATGTTGCATTCAGATGGCACAAACATATATGCCTACACATATATATTGGTCACATACTTTTTCTGTTGGAAGCTTTCCAAGCAATGAAAGTGTTTCGTATGTCAGTTTTCCATTGCAAATTAAAAATATAGTTGTCTTAAATAATGTGGTTTAAAATTTTAAAACATGAAATTAGCTTAAAAATAACTTTAGCTTTAAAAAGTATTTTCCTTTATCTGTCATTTAGAATAATATATTACTAAACCAGACTTGAGTTTTAAGTATAAATGTTATGTACAAGCACAATATGAAAGTATTTTTCACGAAAGCTGATAATTTTTACATTAATATTTTCGTTAAATAAATTTTTAAATTTTTCTGAAATATCAAATTTAATTTTGCATGGATTTAAGTGTTTTTCTTCTGTTTCAGGAAGGAGCTTTTGCGTTGGTCTTCAAAAGTAGGAAATATCCCAATGAATGTGTGGCTACAAGGTATTACATTTTATATGGTTTGTGAACTAGAAGTTGCATTGTTAAATATTAAATTTTGACTCTCATTTGTATGTACCAAGCTTTTAAGTAGCTTTGAATTCCTCTTCAGGTATGAAATAAAGATTCCAAAGATAAGGTCTATATAAGACTAGAAATTTTGACAAAATTTTTATCTTGTGTACTTTGGATACAAAAATCCAAAGTAATGTATTGTAATACATCAAACTGTTAATAACTACAATTATTTATGAATCTCAATACCTAATAAATATATTAATATATTTATTAGGTATTGAGATTTAATGAGATTCTATTAAATAAGATAAAAAAGTAGACATATTATTCATAATCATTTAAAATGTTGATGCAGAATAAATTCCATTTCACATTCAACTGAATGTTTGTGAATCCACGAAATGTATTTTGTGAAGTTAAATCATAGGAGCATTCCAGCTGAATATAGAGCACAAGAAGTTACTTTCAGTTAGTGTTGGCTAACAAACCAAAAAATGCAAATTATTTGAAAATGAAAAGAATTTATAATGCAAGGTAAGAAATGTATAGTGCATTAATGATACATGGAGGCTAAAATTTGTCTATATCAGCATTAAATTTTAGATATATTACGTATATTAACTCCTGAGTATTGTAATAGTATTAATATTCATGAGTAATTTTGGATGTATTATGCATATTAACTCCTGAGTATTGTAATAATATTAATATTCATGAGTAATTTTTGTGGCCTATTTTAAACAGTAGAAACATGATTAGCCGTGACCGGATATGGTAAGTAGTCTGTGTGAGATTAACAGCAATTAGTGTAATTCATTCTGTTGCAGTCAAGTTTGGATTTGAATCCTGCATAAAGCAGGCATTTGTGATTTTAGTGTCTTTATGACATGAGGGCATTTAAAATCTCAAACGTAGTCTACTTAAAAAGTTGTTAGAAAAATGATATATTCAGACTTAATCTCTTATGAGTAGTCTATGAAAATTGCCATATAGCTTATCCAGGTAACCCTTATGTTTGTACGGATTAAATAACTCTATTCAGTTTTGAATATGTTGCAAATCGAATAATCTGTCAGTTGACAAATTTTGTTCTGTAATGTAATGGGTAGTTTTTTCACTTTTGAATACCTGTTGATTCATCATGATCATTCAACAAGCATATTCATTCTTTATAATATGCTTGTTGAAGCATTCCTAATATTTTTCTTATTTTCTGTTTTAAACAGGAGTTAAGATTTTCTTTGTTTCACTTAGGTATCCATTTTAACGTTGACTGCTTAGCATATTTTAAAGAAATCTGAAATAGGTTTTGACATGTTTCATTCAATTTATTGTATACAATTAAACATACAAAAAAATCAATTTTTATTAGTGGACTTAAAATTTTGATTAAAAAGATGCTTTCAAATTATTTTGTGGTCGGGTGTTTCTGAAAAAGATTTTACTTGCACTGCCTATCGTAATAATCCTGATCTTGGACATGTGCCAAGAAAAAGTGAAATTCTTTAAAATTTAATGAACTATTGATCTTATTGCTATCTAAAAGTAAAATATCAAAGCTTTAAAGAACCTGCTTATTGTGGGTCATCTACCAGGGTTGTGAAGTCAGAATTGGAGTCGGGTAGATTTTTGGGGTAAAAGGACTCGGACTTCAGTTTTTATTGAACAGTTTGAATTTGTAATGAAATTAAAGTGAATTGAAAAAAAAAATAATGACAAATGGAGTTAATATTTTTATTTATGGACTATATACCTTAAAAAAAATTATTTTCTATTTTGACATATTAGTAAATATAAGGGAGCAAGATGGACGTGATATTTGCCATTATTAATTAAACTGATTCATTTAGTTATTTCATTGGTGGTGAATTTTGGTAAGCAATGAGAACTCCCAAAATTGATGCCACTTTTAGGAAGCGAGCAGGAAAGGGAGCAACGCCATGGAAAAGTATACATTTAATGATATAGTGGTTGTTATGATTAAGAACTTTTTCAGAAGATGTAAATAACCCTAATATTTTGCTAACAGAAGACTGTGGAATGATCTTGCAGAACTGGAAATCCTTCTTTCAACACCGTATATAGCCATAAAAAAGCTACAATCTGAAGAATTAACAGGAGACTAGAATGTTAGATGTAGATAACTCTAATGTTTCACTAACAGAAAAAATGTGAAACGATCTTGCAGAATTGGACACTCTTCTTTTTATACCGTATATAGTCACCAAAAAGCTACAACCTGAAGAATTAACAAGAGGCAAGACTGAAAGAATGTGATGTTCTTTCTGAAATGGAGGGTTTATTGCAGAAGGAATCATTTCTTTTATGAAGAAAAGATAAACTAGTTTGCTAGACAGTAAGATCATGCTGGGTTCAATATATGTAGATCCAAATCACCGAATTTTGTTGGATGACAAAAAAATTAAAAAGGCAAAGAAAGCCATCTATGAACTTTCTTTAAGAATGAAATTATCTGAACAACTGGAGTATTCAAATCAGGACAGTCAAATTGCAGATATTGTAACTGAGTCTCTATCATAGTCTTTCACTGATGAATTAGATTTTCAAAAATATTTGGATGTTATTGAAAAGGCAATGGCAAAACGAAGGAAAATAACAAAGAGCATTTAGATATAAAAATATAAAAACAAGTTTTATACATGGCCTTTGAAGAAATGAATCTGATTGCTCTTGCAAGACACCTCTTTTAGAACTTATAAAAATCTATCCTGAAAAGTTAAAGGAAGTAGCTCTAACAGCTCTTCTTCCTACTCAAGTCATAGTGGAAAGACTCTTTCCAGATGTGAAGTTTATCAAATCAGATCTATGGATCCTCTAACAAAGATGATGTTGCCAAAGTTTTACTGTTTCTTAGAAATTACTAATACCAGTTTTTTCATTTCATAATAAATGCTAATTGATATAAAAAATTTGCTATGTATCAGTTTTTTCTGTAGCATCTATTACTTCTTTTATATTAAAAAAAAAAAAGCTGTAGCCATGTGTATGAAGGAGTATATGAATGTATATGATATATATGTATATGAAGGAGTTCGAAATTGGAGTCGGAGTCATTAAAATTCCAGGAGTCAGAGTTGGTCATTTTCCTTACAGACCCCACAGTCCTGTCATCTACTAGTCATGAGGTATCTCATGGTTGGTAGTCAATTGAAAGCAAATAATGTAGTCTAACCAACTATAAAAATATGTAGATTATAAGTACTGAATTGGGTATTTATTAGTTGGCCTTTTAATGCTGTGCTTACGATTTTACTATATGTACATTACTTGTTACTGATAAAAGAATATTTTGATCGTATGTATATAGATCCAAGTTCTGTAAAAATTTATATTTTGAAATGGGAATTTTTTGTTAAATTCTTATCTAAATAGAAAGTAGATTCATATCATTTAAAATAGTCACATATTTGGCATATGTGTAATACATAAATATAATACATTGCATAACTAAAAATGGTTGCAATTTTAAGACAGATACAACATATAAAAGTAACAATTTTCATAATGCAAGAAGTGGCAAAATGTGAACATGAAAATACAATATGTAAGAAAAACCTAGAAAATGAAAGGTTAGTTGCAGGTTTTCATAAGAAATGTTTGATATTTTTAAGAATCATTCAGATGAACAACCATTAACTATTTGCACTCGAGAGGCGACTGTCATTCACCATGTAATTTGATGCCACAACTCGAGAGAGGACTCTCACTCATCATTTGGTTTAATGCAGAAGTTCGATGCGCTGCAATAATTGTTTACATTTAATTTCTTCGAAACAGGTTCCTATACTCTTTCTGTATAATCTTATGAAGTGTAAAATGATACTCCTTAAAATGGAAATAAGGTAAAATTTCATATAAGAAAATCTTTTCTTATTTATTACAAAGTCTGCTCTCAGAGAAAGGAACCTGGAAAAAGGCATCCAATGACATTATTGCAATACTTGTCTCGTAAAGCTGAAAAACTGGGCATGCATCTTCGGAATTGTTACATGAAATATCACGCACAGAAAAATTAGACTAATATTTAAGAAATTATGAGATTTAAAGGTATAAAATGTAAAGCATTTTATACATTAATTTTTATGTAATGATTTTAAGTTACAGGTAAGAAATGCATCAAAACGTCTGCGTGAAATGTCTCGAATTGCAGGTGTACCACATGAAAAAGGCCCCCAAGTACAAAAGGTTAACTTAAATATATGCATATTCTTGGGACGATATCCAGCATGTATTTCTGCAGCGGCAATGCTAATTCTTGTAACGGTCTTTAGGCAAATCAGTTTGTGGAGCTGGACTAACCATGAAGCAAAGTAAAGATTTGTTTATGTTTAACACGTAGAGCGCAGCGCCGAATTTGCTGTCCTTTCCGTTCAGCCGGCAGCGAGCTAAACCGTATTTTTGTTTAGAATGTTTCAATTTCATTTCATTAAAACTAAATTTGATCACATTTCATTGAAACTATATTTATTTTTAACTTTAAATGAAAATTCCAGTCCCAGTCCCCAGAGACTGACGCCAGCCACACAGAAAGTTCACTGTTGGTCTGCAGGGACCGATGCCGGCCACACGGAACATTCAATGCCGGTCCCTAGAGACCAGTGCCACGCTCAACGTGTTAAGGTAAGAAGACATGACAAAAATACTTAAAGAAGGGAGATACCATAAAACTTTCCATTGTAGTTTTATTGTGGAGTGTATTGGTGTAACTAAACCAAGACTGAAAGCGAAGAGAAAGGGGAATACCAGGATCTTTTAAGCGCTTAGTCCTCTAAAAGTCTTGAGCCAGACATGCTTATAAACAAGACTTTTCATATGTCTAGAAATTGAGGGAAGAGCTATGTAATCTAAGAAGCCTAAAGATACCCATCTTTGTATATGTATTGTACCTAATCAGTTGACTGAATATTCTGGCACTTCTATGCTTCTGATGCATTAGTACCTAGTATACCATCATGCATTTGCATCACGAAAATAGTTATACTTATTAATGAACATTTTTCCTATTAAAACTCTTGTGTATGTATTATATACATAAATATTGTTGTGCAAATTGGGGTTACAGCCGAAAACATCGCGGATAAAAACGTTGCGGAGAAAACAACGCAAGGCGAAAACGTCGTGATATAAAACATCGTGGGAGAAAACATCGCAGTTCTAAAAAATCGTGATACAAAATATCGTCGTCCAAAATAAAGCGGTTCAAAAATTTCGCAGTTTAAAAATATCATTGTAAAAAATAAAGTATCTACAAATCATCGCATGACGATAACGTCGCAGACGTGCTTTTTCCAGGCTTTAATAATTGTAAATGGATATTTTCATAATGATTCGTGAGCACAAGATGGAAAGAAGGATAATTTTTACTTTCATATTTTTTATTAACTAATAAATTTTTGCTGAAAAAGTAAGAAGGAAATTTTAGCGTAGAAAATTAAGGCAACTTATAGCACTTAAAAGATTTTTAAACTGACATAGTTTACTAACAAAGGTCATTAATAAATCATTTTTTATAAAGTTTTTACTGGTAATTTTTCATTAAAAGTATAATCTAAAAATGTTTAGAAAAAGGAAGCTACGTAACTGCATGATCTTATCTATAAAAAATTGCTAATTATGAGATTATTTTCTTCCCTTTTGTGAATCTAATACTCTTATAATGAAAATTATTTCTTGTTCTGCTTCAGTTTGTTAAGTATTAAGCTTCCTTCTTTCTTTTTCAGCAAAATTTTATTAGTTAATAAAAAATATGAAAGTAAAAAATTATCTTTCTTTCCATCTCGCGCTCACAAATCATTATGGGAATATCTATTTACAATTATTAAAGCCTGAAAAAAAGTAGGTCTGCGATGTTATCGACCTGCGATGATTTATCGATACTTTATTTTTTACCGCGATATTTTCGATCACGATGTTTTTACACTGCGAAGTTTTTGAACACCGCTTTATTTTCGACGGCGATATTTTGTACCACGATGTTTTAGAACTGCGATGTTTTCTCCCACGATGTTTTGTAGCACGACGTTTTCGCCTTGCGTTGTTTTCTCCGCGATGTTATCGGCGGACACCGCAAATTGGTGCTAAATTAGCAAAAAATATAAATCTACCAAATCAAAAACATGAAGCATAAATTTAGAAAATCAATTTAAAATAGATATTAAAATGAGAATATTTTTATTTTATATATTTGTCATAAATTACATTTGTTTCAGCACCGATTTCCAAATTTATGCATATTTATTTGTGCTTCATTTTATTTAGCTTGTCATTTTTGATATTTATATTGTATTTTATTCTTTTATATAAAAAGAAAGCATATGAAATATTTTTCTGTCATTTAAAGGGTTAAATTATTTTTCAAGGTACCTCTTGGCAGAAATTGGCGATTTTTTTTAATGCCATTCCTGTTTATGCCGAACACCGTCCCCAGTAAAATGGCATCCAAAACATAATGCAATGAAACATAATTAAAACAAATATATAATTTCAATAAACTGCATTTAAAATCAAACAAGGAAGTAATGTAAGAATGGAAATACACATAATCTAATCTGTGAAGTACAAAAAGGAAATATTGACTTACCTTATTTAAAAATTTGTTTCTTCGATATGTGTGACACACAAAATTCCTTAACAGCATCCAAAAAGTATTTAAAATTGTATTAACTAAAATCAGTACACTGCCATTGTCACATTAATCCACAAAAGTAAAAATGACCTCCGGACTGTCGATAGCATTTCTTTCAAAAATCCCTTTTTGTTACATCTCGCATACACCTTCCATAGTGTTGATATGAGCTCCAATTTTGAAATCCTTAAATCTCACTGTGTAATTTACTGAGAGGTGAACTAAGACATTTAAATCTTCAGTTAACGCCAGTTTTCTTTTCAGTTGTTCCAGAGTGTAGAGAAACTTCAGGTTAATCATATCACCATTAGGCATTTTACATTGTAAAGCACAAAATAAGCAACATACTTCCTAACCAACATCATTAGTACCTAAGTAAGTCCTTATAAATATTTTCCTGTCAGGTCAAAATCACCGCTATCGTGCATTGCAACAAATCGTGTCATAACACCATTTCCATAATATTCAACTACTCAGGTTACCATAAATGAAACAACTTTGTGATAATCCAAAGTGTACCTTAAAATCTAGACTAACCATTTAAGGTTTGAAATTTTTTTTAATATGTTAATGAAATTAATTACTTACATAACTGTACTTTTATTTACATTAAATTTTAATATAAAAATTTTTTAGGCGTGGCAGTCCATTACTTGTTGGAATTAAAAGCAAAGCATCATTGGCCACAGATTATATCCCAGTTCTGTATAGTAAGGGTATGGATTTTTAGCTAATAAAAATATTAAATATAAGTATAATTTATATAATGCTTAGCTAATAACTTGCATATTTGCACAGTATGGTAGGCTGATATTTTATGAACATAATGTTTTTGTTGTTGGTCTCTTTTTGAAAGTATAAAACATTAGAGTATTTGCATTATTGCTTGTAGCATGAATACTGATTGTATTTTATGAACATTTCATTAAACTGTGTATGACATGTGTACTTTGATTAGGATCTATTCTAAACATTCGTAATTTCATAAGCACCTTTCGCTTCATGTGCATATTGAAATCTTACATAAAATCTGAGTTTTCTTATATCCTATCAACTGATTCTTTGCATTTCTAATTGTGAATGTGATCTTTATTTCCATGCATGCCTTTCCCTACACCTTCATATGAAACATCAGATTTGGAAAAACAGAACAAGCAAGGTATAAATGCTTTTCTAAAATACCCTCTGTCTCTGAAGTTTAATTTAATTTGTTTTTAATTGTATTTATATAAAGCTATTTATTGATTAACTATTTTATTAATTTTTATCTGATAAGTCTTTAATAATTTAAATTCAAAATATAAATCTTGGACTAGAGGATATATCTATATATATATTAACCTAAGTGTAAAACATTTTTAGTTTCTAGAATTAAGTCGTTAGATTTTTAATTCTTCAAAAATATATTGGTGATAATTCAGTGTTTAGGTATTTGTCATTTGTCTATATACCCCCGACAATACATTGGCAGTTCAAAATATATTTTCAGAGTCGGCAGATTGATTAAACAGGTTTAAATCTAATGTATTTTTAGCAGTTGTATCGGATTGTTATTCTTTACAAATTATTTCTTCCGCATAATCTCTATTAAATAAAAAAAGTGATTGACTTCTTTTACCAATTTCTAGTTCTTATTTTTAACACTTTGTTTGGCAGTTAATATTACATTACCACTGCACATCAACTATCATGTGCAGTTTCATTGCATGAGACTAAAAATAATAGATTATTTCATCTTTGCTTCTGAGTGAATTTAGTTAGTGATGTAAAATACAGTAAATATTAACACGGCAAAGAACAATATATCAAACATTTCTCATGAAGAGAGTGACCAACAAATTGCTATGTAGATGAGCTGTTGCTGTAATTGATCTGAAACTGATTTTGAAATAGAATGTCATATCTATTCACATGTAGGCAGTAAAAAATAAGTATTTTATCAGAAGTGCTCCAGGGAGAATCTGTAGTTTTTCTCATGAGTAAAGTTAATGAGCCAGTTTTCATTAAAGATCTCTGTAAAGTTTTTCCTTGAAAGGCAGGTTAACTGTAGTGCGTTTTGCTTACAGAAAAGCAGACTCTTGGATGGTATTATTGGTGGTGTATTGATGGGGAACCAATTAATGCTCAAATAACTAGTCATATTTTAGAAAATACTAAAAATCCAATTAGTGTTAATTCTACTTAGTTTCAGAAAATTCTAATAAATTTGCCTGAATCAGTTCCTAGATTAGAAAATTCTAGATTATTTTATGAATTTAGTTTGATTTAAAGTAATCTTGTTTTAATATTGATGTTTAAGGGTTTTCTACCTATTTCTGTTTGAAACTGCTTTTTTTATCAGAACTTATTCTTTGTTTCTGATTGCGATCCCTTGCTTTTTCCCTCTCCTGCATGTTGACATCCTTCGTTGAATCCCTATCTAGATGACACTGAGGGATCAGGTACTAAATTTTTCTTACTATTTTCTGCAATGAAATATTGATCAGAACTTATATTTTGAAATTTATAGAGCAAAAATGGCTTAATAGCTCTGGCTGAAAGATGGTAGGGAAGATTATATATTAATTAGAATTGCATCATAAAGAGTAATTCTGAAATGCTGGGCCTGTGACTGTATTTAATTCATTTATTTTTGTAAGGATTATTAATCTGAAGCAATATTTCATTGCATTTTCTTATGTTAAATTTCTACTTTTTAGTTGTGTGTTTAATTTCCTGTCAAATTTAGTAAATAACTTCTTAAATGTCAACTTCCTTTGTCTAAGTAATCTGTCATGTATTTGCATGAAATTTCTTAAACTAAATTTCTGTGTACTGATATCCTTTATTTTTTGTATTTAATTTTTGGCATTTTGTCGTGCATTTTAATTTTCAGTAAATGTAAATTTGATTTTCTGTGGCTCTAAATTATATTAAATTCTGAAAAAAATTTAAATGCTAGCAGTTTTGGAACATGTAAGTATTGTTCTCAGAATTTTTGATGTAAATAAATTTCTTGCAACTAATTTTCAGTATTCCTTTCATTTAATGTTCAAAGTTGCTTAATGTACAAGATTAAATGTTATGTTAATTGTAATAAATAAAATATAGTCTAAAATATTCAAGAAATTGATATATGTAAAATAATAAACTCTTTAAAATTTTGTTAATTTATGTAAAAAATTTCAGTATAAATTTTCTTGCAACATTTAATTTTCTTTCAGTGTTTTTCTCGTGCAGAGTTAAAGTAGCTCAAAGTAAATAAATGGTTAAATGATATATTAATGTAGTAGACAAAATCTTGAGTTTCAAATATTCAAGAAATTGATTAATTTAAATTAATACTTGGATTAATCTATCAAAAATTACGTAATGTATGTTATGAATTGGCTGTTATATCTTAAAACTGCGAGACTAATTAGCAGTGTTGCTGTTTATATAAAACTATAGGAATCTATTGTAAAAGCGCCTTAATTTAAAATCAATTCTAATGTTAAAAATTTTAAAGAATTTTATTCAATTTATTACCCTTTGGTTTATATTATGTAAAATAAAATAAAAATTGTTACGTCAAGTAATATAGATTATATGAACTGAAAGCAAATCATAAAGTACTGCATATAAATATTTTCAAGTTTATAATTTGTAAGTACTAATCAGCAAATATATATAATTCTCTAAAGATATAAGAGTACATCAAACATCTCCTTTGCCATCTGGTGCATTGTCTCAAACTCAAGGAATCCATCGATCTGATTCAACTACAGAATTTCATCCTACTGGTGATGACAGAGAAGTAGAATATTTCTTTGCCTCAGATGCTAGGTAAGTACAAGGCCGTTATATTTTTCTTTTCACTGATTTAAGATATTAAATTCTATAACTTCTTATTCTATAATGCTTTCAGTGCTGTCATCGAGCATACTAATCGAGTCATATTCTTGGAAGACGACGATGTAGCTGCAGTTAAAGATGGAAGTAAGTTGTCTTTCTCCTCCTCATCTTTTTTTTTTTTTTTTTTTTTTTTTTTTTTTTTTGGTCATAGGAATATTATGCATAGAAAATTTATTACAAGACTATGCACTTTTAAAATTTCATTAATTCTGTAGATTTAACTATTCATCGCATGAAGAGAGCCCTTGATGAATCTACTGCTAGGGAAATAATTACCTTAAAAATGGCCATACAGGAAATAATGAAAGGTAGATAAATTTTGCTTCTATCATTTTACTTGGAACGGTATTATAATTTTTTTGAAAAATTATACTAAATTTTCTGACTTGTTGGTGTTCAAAAGGCTCCATAAATTACTTGAAATATATAATGATACATGATTGCCTTTCTTTAAATTTATGTTTTTAACTAGTTTGAAAATCAGATGCACCTTATTAAAACAAAGAAATCCTTGTAACGTTACTCTATATGCTTGTATGTTCAGCTTATCAAAAATATTTTGTCACATTTGGAGATTATTCTGAAGTAGTCAAGAGAATTTTAGATTTATTGTACAATATTTAAAGTATTGTATTCATTAAAAGAAGTATGCTCAATGTTACATTGGAAAGTTTGCACTAACTTTCAACGATGTTAAAATGTTTTAATTATTTGGTTATTAAACTAATATCTTCATAAGCAATTTTTATTGTCTTTTATTTTGTAGAGCAACAGTTCTTGAATTCTGAGGATTCCTTTCATTAGATTCATTTTGTCCTATTCTTAACCATTAGACTTTCTCAGCTTATTGTAAGTCAAGAAAATATTTTTGCATGTAAAGGCTATTTCTGTTTCAGTATGCAAATTGTTAGTCTCTAGTCTTAAGTATAAATTTTGCAAAACATAGCTTCGCTAATAAAGTTGTAATTACATTTTTATGAAAAATACTGCTTTCTTGGAGATGATATTATTTTAGATGTAATGCCTGGTTTTGTGATTGAAATATATGCAGGTAACCCATAAAGAACACAGATGATCCCTGCTCCCAAATTACATGTTTTCAAACACAAGTTTAGAGTAATTCTAGCCATTCAAACATCGACTCTTTTTTTCATGAGGTTGTTTTCTTATGCAGTAATGTATCAGGAGATTGTTATCTAAATAGAGGATTGTGAGAATCCTAAGTGAGGATTCATTGCTTATAAACAAATCGATGAATCCTCACTTGTTGAAAAACTTAGAGTTGCTAGCAATTTATTGGCAACACAATAGAGCTTGGATGACTTCATCTATGTTTGCAGATTTGTTTAGCAACTGTTTTGTGACTATTGTAGAAAGATTTTTAAAAAAGAAAAATTTGATTTTCAAAATATTACTGTTATTAGTGAATGCTGCTTCACATCTGAAGAAGTTGGAACATCAAAATTTGAAAATATATTTCTCACTAAATATAATATCACTAATCCAGCCAAGGTGTAATATCAACATTTAAGGCATATTACATATGAATATCTTTTCAGTTTAATTTGGATAATAAAGCTGCGGAAAAAAAGTTACCCAAGTTTGGAAAAAAAAATTTAATCGTGGAATGTATTAACACTGTATCTTCATCTATAAGTGATCTTAAAGCTTCCACAGTGAATGCAAGTTGGAAAGCCCTTGTACTGAATATGGCTTATGAAGACTCTAATATTTCATGTGTAAGCACGGTTGTAAATTATTATTAGACAAAATATCTATTGAGAAAATGGCAACAGCTAATTTCTGGATGTCGTTCTATTTATAATTTTAAAATATTCATTGAGATGATGTACGCGGGATATGTATATTGGTACGATGCAATAAGAACGTCTGTTATGTTGTGTATGTTTAGGAATACGTTACGCGTATGTTATTAAATAATGAGTGCGGTTTATCTTTAAATAAATGTTAGTCTTTTACAATCGTTTTATGAGTGATTAATTTAACTGCTGAAGGAAGCTAACACATGTAAGCACACCAAATATAATCAGATAATTAATGTTGCATGTTCAATATGTGGTACAGGGTTTGATGATACGTCTGCTAAAGATTAACTATTTTTAGAAAAAACATTGGATGATCTTGTAAGGCTTTTTGAAGGATCTAATTGAAATTCAGTAACTAAAGAGGCTAAAAAAAAAATTATGAAAATATATCTAACTAGAATTTTTCTGTTGATGTACAATATGCATTACATTTGGCAAACAAATCAGAGATGTTCTTAACAAAAAGAGATCCTTGCGAGGCACGGAAAACATTTGCAGTACAATTTAAACTGTATTAAGCCATATGAAAATTATTTGGAGAAACTGCAACACAGGAATGAACAATCATGTACTACTGCTAGATATTCAGATGAAGACTAACCTAGCAACATGGATATTCTGCCTCTTGTAAGCAAATATACGAGAATCTCAACATTTCTACGTGACTCCATTGATGAGGACTAGATGGCTTGGCAATGTATAATTTTAATTAAAAAGCATGATGCATTGTAAAATTGTTCTTTTATTTTGATAAAAATTAAAATTATTTTTCAAACCTAATTAAAATTAATTTGAGTTATGCAGTACAAGATTTCTTAGATGCGTTTACCAAAAAGAATTTTTTAAAAAAAATGTTCACACTTGAAATGGAATCCTTTTTCAAATAACATGGAACCAATTAATCACATTCTTTGTAGGGTTACCTATATGTATAAATCTAGTTTGTGAATGCACTTAAACAGATAGTATCTATATATCGATTTCAAAGTTGAATTATCTTTACAATATGTAGTATGCTGTAACGTTTCTCTTCTCTGAAGACCACTAGGTCACCTGCCCTAAAAGATGGGACAGAGAACCCTCTGCTTATCTCGGCCGGAAGAGGGGAGTGTACTTTCCCCCCTGGTCGCAGGTGGGAGTAAGGAGATTGAGATGTGAAAGAGAAAAGAGTGGACGCTGGCTTGCGCGCTCTACTGAAGTGAAAATCTATTTTAACCTTTAGCTGGAGGGGCTGGCATATGGTACGATTTTAGAGGGGCGGCGTATGAAGTACGCCAGGTCGTTTTTTCGAGCCTCTGCTTCGTGTTTGAAACTATTTAATCTTATACGTGGCATTAATAAGGTGATTCATCATAGTAAAAATGGTATAAGAAAATCAAATAACAGAAAAAAAACAGTAAAGATGGAAATTACGAATTTTTAATTAATTCAAAAAATGAAATGCACTGGAAATGTAATTTAGTTATATAGTATTCTGTATTATTTTCTGTATGAAAATAAGATCATAAATCAAATTTACAAATTATAAATATCCCGTAAAGAAAAGTTCGGTAAGTAATAAATTTCGCAAATGAAAAACCTTTTGCTACTTTAATCCTCTTCATATTGTCCCTGTTCATTGCAGCAGAGTTTGCAAAGTTGTACTGTCTTGCCCAGATGATTTTTGCAGGTAAACTTAGAACACTCAGAACATTTTATGGTAGTGTAATTATTCTTCATTCTACCGCACTCAGCGCAGCGTCCTTTGATCTTTTTTGCAGGTGGTTCCTCGTCCCATTCGGCCATCTTGTCCACTTCTGTTGTTACCAGCCTTAATAACCTAATAATAGCTTTGGAATGTGACAGGAGAAACGGCATTTTCAGATGATTCTGAAGATGTGGTTTCATCAAAGATGTAGCTAGATTTTTCAGAAAATATCTTATAAACTTGATGGTTGCTTCAGGCTTGGCAAAGTTCAAGAGCATTTGCGAATTTATGCCCGCTACGTTTAGCAGTGCAAAAAATGTTGCCATTGCCCACTTCTTGGTTTTTCAGGCGATAGTGAAATTATTACAGAGTTGGTCTACAGTGTCAACTGCACCTTTACATTTCTTATAATCCAGGATTATGTGAGATTTATTAGTTTCCTGGTCAATTTTGTCATCGTGTAAAGTACTGAGCAGTATTACTTATTTTTTTTTTGTTGCTTATGAAGCAATTGTCATATCCTTTTGAAAACCAAACAGTGAGCTGATTTCTCTTGTTTTTGATGGCTGGAATTCATTTGGAATTTCCTTTTTATTTTTTCAGTGTGCCCACAAGTGGTATACCTTTGGTAAGAAGAATATTGAGCTAGCGGGCAGCTTGTATACCAATTATTGGTCGTCAGGTTACGGTTGAAACCTTCGTATACACCAATTAACCTTTTGACAACATCAGTACTTGAATTAGAAGCCTCGTAAGGTCCTGGGGGTTGATTGCCACAATAAATTTCAAGCTTCAATGTATAAAACTTTTGGAAGTCAACAACTGCAAAAATTTTCAGACCGTACTTTGCGGGCTTGTTGGGGATGAATTGAATAAAGGAGCATCTCACGCGAAAGAGGTTCCAACGTTCTCACGTCGATTGCGGAGTTCGTCACCTGGTGTATGAACGTTTTGACAGTTCTGATTGAAAGATTAAAAAAATTCTCTTAGTGCAGCAAGCTTATCAGTTTTTCTTCGCACATACCTTATGCCTTTATCGTCGAATCTAATAGCAGCACGCAGGTTTCTGAATCGCTTGAGACCCATGACCCCTTGCAAAATTTCAATTCCAGTACCATTTTTTGCCCATGCTTCCTCCGAATTGAGTTTTGACATTTTTTTTGCACCCTAATAAGAAAAAAATTCCTAAAAAGGCCAAATGTTCGATGACTTCCGTTTCATCGACATCAGATGCATTATCTAAATTGTCGGAGTCTTCATCAACCAAGACGTCTTCTAAAACACTCAAATAATGCTCAGGAGGTACAATATTCTTTCTGTACATACTTGGAGGAGCAGCGTACTGCGTTCGCCTTCGCGGCATGTTCACAATTACTGCTTTCGGAAGGAAGGCGAACTCCAGACTGACCAGAAATACTAGATGCATTGCACTTATGGAATGTTTCTAGGAGGGTAGAGGAAGGGAGGAAGCTCAGGAAGGGATTGTCTAAAAACTACAGCCCAAAAGATGGCATTGGCGTACTCTGTACGCCAGCTTCTCCATTGCAGGGTTAAAGTATTTCTAAATTGAAATCTGTACATAGTTGTATATAAAGATAAATATTTAGCCCAGAACAGGTCTAGTTTATTTGAGAGATACAACTATGGTACAATGGTGTTTACCTAACACATATCAGTACTTGCAGTATTATGACATGGCAATTAATCAGAATGGCCTTGAATTACATTGTGCAGTGCAGAAAATTGGTTATGCTAGAGGTTATTAAGAAATTACAATGGCATGTACAGCAGTATCTGCAGATGCATTGACCAAGTTTCTTCAAGCAAACACTTGCCATTGTGCTTGTGACTGGCCCGCTAATGGCCACTAACTACCCTGATTGAATACTTTTAAGTAACTGTAGGTGCAGGGACCTTGTATTAAACCTAACATATGAATATGTATGATTATATTAACCTATAATTAAGTTAATGATTAAATTATAATTGTATTAACCTATATTTAAGTTTGGTATTAACATGCGGTAAAGAATTTTTTCATTAGAGTATGTATACATTTTTCTGACTGACTTTTTATCGAACATAAGCATATCTCTAAAGATTATTCTGCTGGAAAACAGGTTTCATGGTATCATCCCATTATGATTTTGCAAACTGATCTTTTTCTGAACAATTCAAGGTATTTCTTCACAGAGAAATTTATCAAAATGAAATCAAAATTGGATCAAACTTTAGTTGCTGCTTTAGGTAGTTTGTGAGATATGGTGTTTAAAGGAGCCAGCTGCCATATCATCAATGTTGCAAGATTTCATTCATTAAGTTGGTTAAAAAGTGAAAAAGGAATCTATTTAAAATAAGAGGCAATTCACTTCAGTACAAAAACATAGCACATTTCTGCATTTTTTAATTCTAAAAATGAACTCTAAACTAAACCCTAAACGGTGTTTCCAAACCATGAAAAATAACTTCAAGGAAAATTAATGTTTACATAATTACTGAATTGCTCATGGTGGGTCCAGGTTCAAATCCTGAAGATATAGATGTTTGTAATTGTCTAATTTGTGTTTCTTTGTAATTATAATGCTCCTCTTGCAGATGTAACTTCAGTCAACTTCATATAGTACATCTAGGCAATGTTCTCAGTAATAAAATAGATAAAAGACCAGCAAGTTTGGCTATTTTCAAGGAATGCTTGATTGGTCAAGTATCTGTGCCATTTGGTTACAAAAAAGCTTTGGTTTGAAAAATCACTTGCAGACCTCTATTCTCAAACCCTTAGTAGTCAGCAAATCATATTTTAAGACTTCTTGTTCTAGAAAGTTTTCCACAATTCTTAATATACAAAATCATAGAACAGCTGCCAAGCTGCTTAGCAAAAGTCATGCCAAGCAAATTTTTGCCTGCTTTGAAATAAGACTTTTGCCCCTTAATTGTTGGCAGACTATAGACTTTATATGGGCAACCTAGTAAGAGTTGCTAATGGAGAGTTCCCTGAAAATATCATTTTTAAAATGTGTAATAAAATAATTAAAAGAAAAAACAGCAAGTTGAAAAATTTTGTAAACTTTCTGCAAATTACTTTTTAAGTTTTTTATAAATTAAAAAAAAAATAGTTGTTATATAAATATATTTTTGGTTAAAAAAATGTATGCATCTATAAACTTCAGTTGTGTTATCTTTTTAATAGTTAGGTTTGTGTGCTTTAATCTATAAACTTAAAATCTGAGAACTAATAGATATCAAATCACTCTTAATAGATTATGTTGCATTAAAGTTTTTGAAATTGAAGGATGCATAATAAAATTATGTATTGATGTGTAATTTGTTTTTGCATTGTAGACATCTCATTCAAAATTCAATTTAACTAGGTAGTTACAGTTCTTTCATGCAGAAAGAAATATTTGAGCAGCCAGAATCTGTCATAAATACAATGAGAGGACGAGTTAATTTGGAAGCTGAAACAGTGGTCTTGGGTGGCATTAAAGACTTCTTACCAGAAATAAAAAGATGTCGACGCTTATTACTTATTGGCTGTGGTACAAGCTATCACAGTGCTGTCGCAGTATGTATTTAAATTACATATAATATTTTTAAATGAAAAATTCAATTCTTTGTTACTTTAAAATTTAGCAAGATTTTTCATTTATAAGCTTAGATAAAATTTTAATTGATGCTGAGATTTAGCATCTTTGTTACTTTTCAGACACGACAAATCCTTGAAGAGCTGACAGAATTACCCGTTATGGTTGAACTCGCAAGTGATTTTCTGGATCGTAACACCCCAATTTTCAGAGATGATGTTTGCTTTTTTATTTCCCAGTCTGGTATGTCTTTGTATTAAATACATTGCTTGTTATTGTGCATTACTTTAGCTGGAATTTGTCATATAACTGTTTATCAAACTTTATTTAATGAATATGGAATGCTAGTGCTAGATATAATGTTGGTATAAGATCTAATAAATGTTGATTATCGAATTTTTCCATATTTGTCTGTAAATACGATTTTTTTTATGTATGCTTAAACTGATTATTTCCAATACATCTGCCATTTTGAAAAATGTCATTCAGATATTTTTAATAACAGAATTCAAATCTCTTATTGTTTCTAGCTTTATTGCTTATGCTGAATAAATATAATTCTATAATTTTTCTCAATAAATCAAAGAATTAAACATTATTTGATGAAACTTTTTATATACAAAATGTTTTCTACACATGATTTGAAACTCAAAACAACTTTCAGTGCCTTAACTATTCATGTAATTTAAGCACTTCATAATTATATAAGAGCTCATATATGTAACGATATATTAACTTGAGATATATATAAATATGTCTCATGCTTAAAAAAATTGCTTAAAATTTATATGTAGGACATCTTTATAAAGATGTCCTAGAATTTATATGTAGAACATCTTTATAAAGATGTCCTAGAATTTATATGTAGAACATCTTTATATAAATATAAAGATGTCCTACATATAAATTTTTAAGCAATTTATAAATTTTAAATTTGGTTTCTTTGATTTATATTTGTTTAGTAATGTTCATTAATTTAAAAAGATTTTAGATTTTTAATTTAATAAACCCCTGTTATGTAAAAAAATATTCTGGAATTATAATATCAAAATACTATTAATGTAATAGTGATACTTTTAGCTAAAAGTAATAAGCGAAGAAAACTTTTTCTTTAATTTTTCCATTTCAAAAATTTGTGTATTCTATTTGAAATCTATATGATGTATCTATAATTTTCTAATGACTGTCATGTGCAGTGTTTTAACGATTTCAATATCTTTACAGGAGAAACTGCCGATACGTTAATTGCTTTGAGATATTGCAAACAACGTGGTGCCTTAGTAGTTGGAGTTACAAATACTGTAGGAAGCAGTATCTGTCGGGAAACCCATTGTGGAATACATATAAATGCTGGTCCAGAAATTGGGGTTGCTAGCACAAAAGCCTACACTAGCCAATTTTTATCTCTAGTGATGTTTGCATTAGTGATGTCAGAAGATCGCATTTCAATGCTAACAAGACGCACTGAAATCATAAAGGGATTAAAAGCACTTCCTGAGCAAATTAAAGAAGTATTGAAATTAGATAATGAAGTGAAAAAATTATCAGAGCAGCTATATCAACAAAAATCTGTTCTCGTCATGGGCCGAGGCTATAACCATGCAACATGTCTCGAAGGTGCCTTAGTAAGTAATGAAGTATAGTATTTAAATTTTCATGCTTTCTGCAAGTTAATTTCTTCTAATTTTTCTTATTTCTATTTTCATTTTTTAATGTTGATGAATTTACTGTGCCAAATCTGTTCCATATCTTTATAGTAATTTTTCCAATAGCTATTATCAAATATTATTCAGTGGCCAAATACATTAGAAAAATACAAACATCTTAAATAATGAATCCTTTTCTAGCTTTATGTAGCCTAGAATATTTAATTGATTTATATTATGATAGTTATTTTTAAAAATTGTAGAATTCATTTTGCGAAGAATACAACTTATTATGGATTAGTTTAAGACATTTAACATATGCAAGTAAGCATGTCAGTTTTTTCATACATAAGTGTGTCAATATGCCATTAATATTTTTAATGTTCTTTTATTCATGAGATTTGCTATTAAGCTGTGGAAAATGCAATACAGTATTTCGGGCAAGGGTTTTACGTGTTTTTACGGGAATTTTTTTCTTATTTCTGTGAAATATACAGTCTGCCAATGCCCAAAATGAATAAGCCTGATTAATACTCATAATTTGACCTTCCCATAAATAACATGAATACAAGTCAGTTTCTGCCAGAAAATATTCTATGAAGGCATCTTTTCCTTTAAGAAACTATCAGTAATGTACTTCTAACTAGCAGTAATGTGTTACTAAAATTCAATCTGTTCTGTGAAAGATGTAATTTCATTCAATAGCCTTTCCTTCATTTCACTGTAGATGAGTTTTTATTTGCCTGTGACAGCTTAAATTGGGAATCCTTTTCACCTTTATGGGAATTTTCCTTTTGGGGTAATGTTTTGGTGCATGTTCTTTAGCATTTTGCTCAATATAGAAGTTACATTTTATGTGTACTTCGTGGATAGTTGGATTTTACTTGTTTGTACTTTTGTGAAATTAAGAGACACTTTACATATCACTCTGATATTATCAAATGAATGCTAATAAAAATTATATGTTTGGTAATAAAAATGTGATAATGAAATGGCTAATAAAATTTAGTATGTGATTTCATGACTGCCTTATGCTTATTCAGGATATGATCAGAATGTGGATCTTGGGCATTTGTTCTTGAATCGTTTATTCACTTTTCAGTATGTTCAAACTTTTTCTGTTATTAAAAGGATTGAAAAGTGCAGTAATAATTTATAAATTATTAGCAATATTTTAAATGGTTAGGATTTGAATCATGCTGTTTGTAAACAATTTTGAAAATCTCAAGTATCAGCTTTTCTTTAAAGCATATTAATTTGTGTAGCATTTTAACATTTTGATTTGAATTTGTAAAAGTTCATATTTATGTATATTTCCTGCATTGATTTTAATATTTGCTTTGCTGTGCATTATTTATTAATTTTGTTTAAAGAATAAGCATTTACATTAAAAATATTGGCTTTTTAGATACAAATGTATAAATACAAGTTAGAATTAGAAAGCTTCATTCAGCATTATTTATTGTGATTATACAGTAAATTTTCACTTTTTCTAATGCTTAGCTTCTATAAATGCTAAATTATTTTATTTCAGAAAATTAAAGAATTGACTTACATGCATTCTGAGGGAATCTTGGCTGGGGAATTAAAGCATGGACCTCTTGCATTAGTAGACGATGCTATGCCTGTTATTATGGTGGTAACAAAAGATCCAGTTTATACAAAATGCATGAATGCTCTGCAACAGGTAACAATAAAATCTTGTAAAGAATATTTTATATGTACTGAATTTTATAAAGGAAGTAAAAAGTGTTAAACTATAATTCATGTTCATGTTTAGTAACATCTTAATATAACATTTAGTATCAAGAATTAAAATTTGCATTTAAAAAATGCAATTTTGCAACATAATTGGATTTAAAAAGTATTTCAAGTAAATAAATTAGAACTACTTTTAGAGCTCTGTTTACAAAATTGGAGATGAAGTACAAAATCTGTTATGTAGCTTCTTTTCCTGTAATTTTGACATAATGTCTGACATAAATTGTATTTCGTGTAAAGTGCATTTCAGATAAATAGTTGAAAAATAACCTTAATTTTTTTACGTTTGAAGTTTTTAAACATACAATTTTTTTGCATGATTTCAGTTTAGTATGTACTGTTTAAGATGTAAATTTATATATTTTAAATCATGATTTTTGTTTTTCAAAGAAGAAAAAAATATTGAATTCTTATTAGTTTTCTAAAAACCTTAACTTATAGAGATGACCAAATTATGTATTTTCATGTCATTTCAGTAATGAAATGTATGAACAAAGTATAAAATTAAGAAATTACATGTCTCTTTTTCAGATTGGAAATTTTTTTATCTGATGATAAGTTTACATTAAGCATGTATCCATTGTAAGTTAATCTGGGAAGTTGTTCAAAAAAGATGTCATTTCTCTTCTTAGGAATCATAATTTTAATAATCTGTATAGTTTTAAATGGAAAGATTGCAGTTCTTGTTTATACTTTATTTCTCAGAAATTAACCATTAAGTCAAATAAAATAATAATAATAAAGTTCAATTTAAAAGGATATTCTAAAATATTGTTACACATGGTTCAATATTTTATTCGCGATTCTGTCATTTTTAAAAGATAGAAATCTGAGGATACACGAAGGTTACATATTTTAAATATTGCAGAAAAATTTAGACTCCTCTGAAAGTGAAAGCCAGGGACACAAATTAACTTGCCTACTGCAGAGATTAGGCCTCGGTTATCTTAATTTTTATGTAGACTATCTAAAGGTTGCAGTATTTTGCACAGTTTAAAGTTTTTTATTAATTTTATTTAAAATGGTGTTAAGGGGATTCTATTGAAGAATATAACAATTTTTATGTAGAAGCTATCTAAAGGTTGCAGTATTTTGCACAGTTTAAAGTTTTTTTATCCATTGTAAGTTAATCTATGAAGTTCAAAAAAGATGTCATTTCTCTTCTTAGGAATCATAATTTTAATAATATGTATAGTTTTAAATGGAAAGATTGCAGTTCTTGTTTATAATTTAATTTAAAATGTTGTTAAAGGTATTCCATTGAGGAATATAATTTCAAAGTCTTGTTTATATAGAAATATCTTTCTAGGCCAAAAGGAATTAGCCTGAATGGGCTATTAGTTTTGGATTTGGCGGCATATTTTAAATGTTTGAATCACTTTTCAAATTGTTGCCATGAAATATTATTGCCCTGTATTACTTTTAAAGAAATTAATGATGAATCTGCATAAATGTGCGTTTCTTGTACTGTGGGGGAAAAAAAAAAAAAAAAAAAAAAACTGTACCCAGGGCATCAAATTTTGAATAATGTAGACCTCCACTCAAACGTGTGTACTTGGAAGCTTGAATTTTGTAAAACTTAAATAATTTTTTTAAGAAACTCAAAGATTTAAAACACTGTATGAATTAAAATCTCCAGCATGCTACTGAATTTCGGAAATTCTAAAGATATGGTGTTTTTAAAGATTTTGTGATTTTTGCTATTCCACATGAATTTTATGTGGTGTAACCACAAAGAACTTGATATTTAATTAATAAATTTAATACAAGAAACAAAGTTTTGCAAGCCATTTTGCTGAACTGTACATTGATGCGTTAAACTGAGAAAAAGGCTGAAAAAATAGAAAAATGTATGCCAACGCTTGACACTTCACCAGGAACTCTAAAATGTTGCTTTTACAATTTTTGTAATTTTGCTGTTGAATTGTATATGGCATAAGTGCGAAGGAAATTATGCTTAATAACAAAGAAAAAAGGCAAGAAATGGGTTAGCAGGAGTTAGGGCAACAGCAGACTAGTAGACTGCGAGCTCATAAAGAGCATAGAAGCTTCCATCAAAATCTGAGCTTTTTCAAATTTTTTAAGTGAATAGTTTTAGTTAAGTGTATATATTTAATTAATATGTAGAGTTTTTGCCTGAAATTTAAGGAGCTTGGAATTTTACTGTTGGATAAATTTCAGTTTATATATTCCTTTAGGTCACTGGTCCAACACTTAAACTGCTTATGGCCTGAATGCATGATTTGAAAACAGAGCCAGAATTTTTTTAACAAAATGAAAAATTTGAGTAATAAAATAAAAAGTATAGTAAATAACTTTAAAGTTTTGCTTACTATTTACCAAAATACACAAACAGTATTGCAAAGGGGGAAATTATAATTTTTATTGATTACACTTTGTAATTCAAATATATTGACAGCTAAATATTAAATTCTTAGACTGGCATTTTTAAAAATAACTCTAACCTGTTTATTTAATTATTAAATAAATTACTTTAAACTAAAAATAACCAAATTATGAAAACTTTCTCAGTTTTCGAACATTTTCCAAGAGGGATAAAATTGGAGAATAATGGCAATCTACTTTCTCTCGTTTATGAACTTTTTTTAGGCATAAATAAAAGTACAATCTGTATTTATTTATTTCTTGCTGCAGCTTAACACTTGATAAGATTTTGATCGTTATAAAGTTTGTACCCTTTGAGAGAAATTGCTATAAATTACCTTTATCACTGAAGTAGATGCTCACCAGTCATTTGGGTTCTGTCCTTATTCAACTGTGAAAAAAAAGCTGTTTGCATATAAATGTATGCCCAAAGAAAGCAATTATTGTTGAGGCAAAAATTCATAACTGAGCTATTTTTTAAAAGTACTAATAAAATATGTCTCCAAAGATTTGAATAAAATTTATATCAGATTGTAAATTAAATCCATTTACAGATTTTCTGCTGTTTTATTCATGTTTTTAATGGAAATGAAAATATAAACTTGCTCTACAAAACTAAAATCTTTGCAACACCATAATATGTCGCAGGTCTCCTAAAATTGCTTTCGGGGCTGCTAGTGCGTGATTACTACCTTAGCTAATCGTAATGTTAGTGCTTTCAAGATATAATATTTATAACTGCAATACAAAAAAGGTTATGATCTCTTAAGAAAAGTATATTATTTTTTAGATTTGTGGAAAACTTATTACTCTTTGCATAAATGTTATCTTCATGTATTACGAAGAGAAAGCATAAATGAGATTGCTTCAGAGCACATATTTAAAGTCATAGTTTAAAAGCTGTCTATGTAAAGTTAACATGGCTGCATGTGCAAATAAAAATATTAATTCCTTTTTATATAAAACTGTAATTTAATTTGTATTTCTTTATAAAAATGTATATCCTTTTTGAAATTTTAATTTAATCTGGCTTTTTTAGTCTTTTTTATTTTTGATTGAAGTTTACAGAAATATTAACATCCATATAATTTCAAATTTTCGACAATCAGTACAGTCTCAAATTTTGAGTGTTTTATTGTAGATCTGAGAATTTTTGTGTAAATATTTGTTATTATTGTTAACATATATTGCATCTTTCACTATAAAATAGTTTGGTTTTTATTTTAATTATTGCTTTCATAGGTTACAGCCCGTGGTGGAAGACCTGTTATTATTTGCAACAAAGGAGATGAAGAAACACAAAAATTTGCATTTAAATATCTTGAAGTTCCTCATACTGTTGATTGTTTGCAGGGCATTTTAACCGTTATCCCTTTGCAACTCCTTTCATATCATATAGCAGTTTTGAGAGGATGTAATGTAAGTAGTTTTCTGAAAATGTTTGTAAAAAAAAATTTTAAATTATGTTTTAACAAGTGTAAGAGATTTAGATTTTTTTCTTCTTGTAGGTGGATTGTCCTCGAAATTTGGCAAAATCTGTTACTGTTGAATAAGATGTCTAAAGTTGAATGATTGATAACATTCCATGAAACAGTTTTTGTGGCTATTTTTATAGTTTTTAAACTGTAAAAATTGGCATTTGCTTAGATTTGTATTGTGTGGTTTCTTCAGATGTGATAATTCATGCAAGTTAAATTTTTATAGTTTAAATTTTTTGTATGTAACTTTTATATACAAATTTTATTTATAGTTGTCATTTATTAGTGATAATTTTAATAGCATTGAATTGAATGGTTTTAGATTTGCATCTCACTTAAATAATAATGTATAATTTTCTAATTATAAATTATGTATAAATTTGTTTCATTTTTAACAGTTTATAAAGAAAATATCTTAATTAAATTTGGATTCATTTGAAATTATTAAAGTGTTGTAAAAATTGTATAGAATTTCTTATATTGAATAAAATTATGTTTTTAATCCTGTGTTAATTTTCTCTATCACAAATTTTAAACTAACTTTCAGGTGTAATGACTGGAATATAATTGCATCTGTGCCGCCAGTTTTAAAATATTACCTTATTATTGTGTATAACATCATTTATGTTGCTGAAAGTTTATAATTTTAGCTATTCACAGATTATGAAGATCAGTCAAAATGTTATCTGTATTTGCATGAAAAAAGCAGAATATGAAACATATGGCAGTTATTTTATTTAGATGAAAGTGTGCTATCAGGACTTTTATACATGATGATATTTATTCAAACATTTATCATAGTGTGGCAGGTAGGTATACTTAAATAAAAGAAATATAAAATAATAAAGATATAATAAATAAAGAATAAAGTATAAAGAATCTGTCTAATTTTTGTTAACTCTTACTGCTTTGCTGTTTGCCCTATCAAAATATCATTTCTCTGAAATTTCTTTCACAAGCTTAAGTAATGGAAGTTGCAGAGTATGAGATTAGGAATTCCTCACCACCACTGGAATTTTTGCAGGGGGTCTTTTGTTACGCGCACCTATTCTTGAATAGTGCGCATTATTCTGCAATTGCTTTTTAAAAACTTCATTAAACTTCATTTTCTCTTCATTTTCTCCTCTCATGTCACACTGTAAGCAGTGAATTTTTGGGTAGATACTACTTGTTCAGAGAAAAAAGTAACAATGTTTGAAGTAACCAGTTCCAGTTTATACATGGTCATCCCTTATTAACAGCTGATCTGTCACAGAGCAGCTTTTATCCCACCTTTTTAAGGAGACTGATAATATTGCCAATTATTTTCATTAAGATGTTACTGTGTTTCAGATAAGTTTCTGGTTAAATATACTTTTCTACATGTACATTCTTTTGCATTTCAACACTAGCTTGTTAAACTTTTCATTGCATATTAGATATTTAGTTTTTTTCAAGTTGTAAATTGTGTGAATGCTTCCCAAATATCGTTTTCTTATACTTCTGATTAAGCAAGAACATTTTATTACTTGGACTTAAGAATTCTCGTCTAGATTTAAATTATGAAGATTAAATCTGAATAGAAAAACTCTAACATACTGAAGATTTAAAATGTAAGAAAGTGAGGACCGATGAGTGGAATGAGAAAGTAAAAATATTGCAATATGTAAATGCATTTTGTCTAAATATGTGAAATTTTGGACTATTATCAATTTAGATAGCTGCTTGTAAAATTTTATGTAACTATAAGTGAAATTAAAAAATCATGTGATCAAAAAGGTTATTTGAATTGAAATTATAAAATAATCTGATTGGTTGTTAAACGTATGTTGGGTGCAGAGAGAACTAGAGAATAGCTTCATTTGTTTGTAAAATAAAAGCCAGTTTCACTTTTGCAAAAACTATATAATTGGGAGTTTTTAACTTATTTCAGATTTTTACATTTTGTTGGACAAAATATTGTTATAAAATTTATAAATTTAACTGTAAATTTAAATAAGTAAAGAAACTGTAGATACTCATCATTACAATACAGATTTGGGGAGGGTGGGAGATGTATTTTCTTTGTGCGAGGATGGTTTGGATTCTTCTTTACTACAATAGATTCCATGACTTGGGATTTGTCAAGAGGAAGAATGTTTCTTCAAAAAAGAAATGTTCTTCACAGAGAAATATTACATTCGGATAACTATCTCGTGAAATTCAAATACAACTTGAAGCCAAAATGGCTGTGCTGCCTTGGCCAAACATAAACAGTGTTTTTAGGAATCATGCATTTCTTTTATTACTTCTGTGCAATCATTTACTGTGTTGTCGGGAGTTAATGAACATCAGCTACCAAAGCTCTTGCTTCAGATAAATCAGTGTTTGATAGGAATATGTATTTATCAATCTCTTATCTCATTCTGAAGCTAAAACTTATGGATGTGACAAATTGTGGAAACTTACAAAAATGTATTTATGAAAAGGAAAAAATAATTCAGGATGTATTTTCCCACAATGGGTTTTGGGGATACTTTGTTGTGAAATTAGTGCTTCTTACTTTTGTTTCATCAACTATTGAGCCAAAGGCATTAGAAAGGAGCTAAAATGCACCATCATGGTATTGAAAGTATGCAGTTTGGCTTTAAAAGAAAAGCATTGTGTTTATAGATTTCCCTAGATGATATATGGAGGTTATGTATGTCGTACCAAACTTGTGTGAATAAGGAGAAAAATGTGTTTTTTATTCATATGCCAAATTTTGTATATTTAAACTAGATTATAGTATACATTAATAAGACTGGTAGCTAATATACTGGGAATGTGCATTGTAGAAGTGGTAATGAAATTATTTTGAACATTATAAAGTAAATAGGAACTTTGTTTGGGGCATTACAATTGCAATAGTACTTTGGAGCAAATAAGTTATTTCTCCTGGGAGAAATAACTTTTGTGTTTCTGATGTAATATATAAATATTCCAGTTTAACCTTTTGGTGGTAATCAGAATTCTTCAGTCTTTTACTTGTATTCATATTATATCAGTGGTTGTAACACAAAAAGTGTCTTTAAAGACTATTAAAACATCAAGGCATTTTGTGAATGCTATTTATTTTTCATTATACAGAAGAAAAATGTTTTGAAAGTTGAATTATATACTAAATTTGTTAATTTAGTAGTTTGTCCTTGATATTTACATCTCATGAGATTAAATTAACTCAGACCTGGTGTTCAGTATTTGTAATGCTATAAACTGTGAAATCATTGTCACGAGTGTTTCCTTTTCTAAATTTGAGGACATAATGTTTAAAGATTTTTAAGTTTAATTTTTCGTAATCAACTGTTGAAATAGTTTTCTAAATCCTTTTTATTAATTAATAACTCACTTTTACATGCCACTGTGTAGAGACATTAGGTACTTTTTGGAAACGGACAAGATGAAAAATGAACAAACGCCTTGAATAAAATGAAAAAACTGGGAATCGAACCACAAATCTCTGGAATACCGCACCAACATGCAGAACCACTACACCATGTAGGAAGGTGGGAGAAATACCTTACATACTCCCCCTTTTAAAGGGCAACTGGGGTTTTTAGGGTACCCAATCACCAAATCCTGGGTGTGGAGAGTCATCATCCAAACCCTTGTACTTTTTGGAAACAGGCAAGACGAAAAATGAACAAACGCCTTCGCCGGGAATCTAACCATAGACCTCTTTAATACCGGCCTAGCGTGCAGAACCACTACACCATGAAGGCACTCTAAGGAAGGCGGGAGAAATACCTTGTAACTGTTTTAACAGCAGAATTGTTGCCAAATTGAAGAATGAGAACTGGGTGCTAGGTTATTTGAATTTTGCAGTTATTCAGAAAATTATTTAATCTGTACAATATATATGTATTTATTAAATTTGGTAAGTTTTACTGGTTATTTATTGTAGTAAAAGTGAAGGAACATTGTATTTTATTAACCAAGTTTAAAGTTGGCTAACCTGTGTGTGCTGAGATAAAGATCTGCTTTGTGAATAGGACTCATCTGAATCCTTGCAGGTAGAAACTGATTTGGCAGACTCGGCTTCTTTGTGTGCATAAGTAGGACATTCTTAAATGCAAGTTATGCTCGTTGATTTCCATCTGTAATTCTCAATTCTTCATGTTTATAATATTGGCATGCATTAAATTTTAAATTCCAATACATTTAAAGTAATCATTGATCATAAAAATGGATTTGAAATATTACTGGTAATTTTACTTCATGTGGCATAAATTACTAGATGTTATTTTTGTTTCTGTTAAAAATTGTGAAGGTAATGCCAAACAATTAAGGCAAAATGCAGTAGGAAATTATTTGAATTTTGAAGTAATCTACGATAAATTTATGAAATGTATTTGTTCAAAAAAGTCTGCATTAAGCAATTTGGGAAACTGCCTTGATGTTTTAGTTATTTGAAGTAAATATTTATATCACATTAGCTATTAAATTTTTTATCATGTAACTATACTAATCAACCAAAGCATGATGCACTGTGAAATTGTTCTTATGGGATGGTATAGATGGCACAGGACATGATGAGAATGCCATTTAATAGTTGCCAGAGATATTTTCTCAATAGTGTGCATGTAATGAGGAAGTTTCTGTTTTAAATGACTTTTATTGAAGGCCATGTTTTGAAATGGTATTGCTTGTTGGGTGTTTACAATTTGCTTGCTGTTGGTAGCTATGAAAAGTTAGATTCTTGAAACTGGGAGTAGATGCTGACGTGATGTGTAGATGAGATATCAGATGTGTCTACATTTGATCAATGAATGCCAACACTGGAGACTCGTTTGTCGAAAGCAAACAGGCAGCAGCTCAAATGATGGCTGAATACAGTGCAGATCTAAATGTATTGCACGAGTGACCTTTGCCATTATCAGGTAAACTTAAGCGTTTCTAAGTGCACAATTCATCAGACTGTATTGGCTATGGACTCCATAGCAGACATCCCTCTTGTTCCAATGTTAACCCAACATTATCGATGTGTATGGTTACATTACGGAATTTACGGTGGTTTGAGGAACACATTGACGAATTCCAGTTATTGTCTTGTATTCTACACCGTATCTTAGTTCTTCGAAAACATCTGGTTCTTGAAGGGAAAAAAAAGTCATTGAAATATATCAAAGGTGAATGTTGATTACATATCCTGTTTTATTCCAGTAACTCTTCGAATATCGGCATTAAATTCTAGAGAGATGGCAACAGTTAACCTCCTAGATCGTAAATGTGGTGATATTGTGCATTTGCTAAATTTATAATCTGTTTCCAAACATAATGTAACAATAATTGTCTTAACAAAGATGGTGTGTGTTGTGGTGTATTTAATTATGGCAAAGCACACTAGGGCTATCTGCCTAAGGGGAGGGAGGACTTTCTAAGGGAAACTGGCTCGTATACACGTTACACATGGGGAAAACCACGAAAACGCCCATGCAGCCAGCCCGTTCGCGGGATTCGAACCTCGGACCGAACTACCAGTGTTCAGCGTCTTTACCGCTCGGCCGCTGGTGGGCTCCTTAACAAAGATGATAAATTTATTTTAGTCACATGTAGTAGGCGTATCTGTTGGTTATAAAAGCGATTCGCATTAGGAAGAGAAAATTATCGTTCTCCTTTGGCACTGGCAGAATAAAAGTAAGATTCTTCTATGGCACTGGGAGAAGATGAGATTAAGATAACTTTGGGAATAAACAATACACTCTTTCTTAACCACTTGCGCTAAAAAGGCGGGCCAGAAACGTCGAGATGCTTTTGTCTCAAACCGCGAGCGACGTGAACACCACGTCGATAGGCATTTATCGCAAAAATGAAAATAACGTGGTGCACACGTCGCCTAACAACGAGATTATTTATTTTCTCGAGTTACAGCTCTGGATTGC